AAAGTAGCAAAACTTAATACTATGTACAAGGTACATCACAACTTAGTACCCGATTATTTAAAAAGTATTTTTCCCGCAACAAGACGTAATGAATCAAAGTACGATACACGCAATAGAGAGGACTACACTATTCCTAGATGTAGACTTGAAATATTCAAGAAATCTTTTGTTCCTGATACAATAAACCAATGGAATAGTCTGAGTATCACCACTAGAAACAGCATATCTTTTAGCAGCTTTAAAAATAACATACATAAAAAACCAGCAGACCCCCCTTCTTATTTCTCCCATGGTAATAGACGACTTAATATCATACATACTAAACTACGACACAATTGCATTTTAAATTATGATCTTTATAGAAGAAACATTATCGAGAGTCCTAACTGTTCATGTGGTACACCAGAAGACCCATATCATTTTTTCTTTGTCTGCAATAAGTACCAATATGCTAGAGAAAAGCTATTCAGAGATTTACTGTGTCTTACGAAACCAAATATCAAATTGAACATTATTGATTGTCATTTACTTCTGTGGGGAGATGAGTCACAAAATGTAGAAATCAATAAATATATTTTTCAGTCAGTTCATAAATTTATAAGAGATTCTGGTAGATTTAATTAACTATTACTGCCTAACACTTACACTCTATATATCTATATAATTATATATTTATCATAATTATGTAACAAATGTATGTTTCAATTTAACAAACTTGTTTGTACATCAATATTCCTTTTCACTTATTTTCCCTATGTATATATATTGACAGTTGTATGGTGAGAACCTAGTAAGTTGTTAGAACTTGTGTTCAAACCATTTGTATAGTATTTATACAATAAAATATGTTCAAACCAACATTTTCTAAAACATAATCTTATCTGAGGTTGATTGAATATCTTAATAAAAAAAAATAATTTTCCTCTCTTTCTCTCTATGATTTGTTTGGCTATATTTAAAAGTCCTTGTTTCCTGTCGCAAAGAAAAAAGTGGAGAAGGAGACATGGAGTCACTGATATAAATATCTAGTAATATTGTATAAAGTTCTAACAATATAAACCCATCAAATCCCCCCAAAAATTTAATTTAGTTTTCATAGTCTTAAAAAAAATGGGGAATTTTTTCACTTTTTCTTTTTGGTGTTAATAACTTAAATTTAATTCTTATGTTTGTAAACTGTCATTATTGGTGGACATATATGTACAATATTGATATACGTATCACAGGAACATCGCTCGCTCTTGTTTGTTTTTTTTTAACATGTTCTGGCTTAAGTAAGAATGCCACACCATTTTATTTGTATATATTGTTTTTGTAAAACTTAATTGTAATAAAATGTTATTTACATGCCATAGGTGCTTGATGTTTTAAACTTTCTTAATTTTCATAAAAATATTCCAGTTAATTTGTATAATACATAGTGGATTTTTTTATTTATGAAAAGAAATTAAGGTTTAAAACATCAAGTGCCAGTGTTACATGCTGTTGTAAGGAAGGGGGGCACATACTTTATAAATTTAACAAATGAATCAATATTTTTTTTTAATTTGTTATTCAAAACCTTTATTCCAAGGGGGGAAATGGTGAAAAATATGTACATGCAATGTAGACCAAAATCTGGTTCAAAATAATTGTGAAACCTAGCTCCTCCAAACAAGTTTACCTCATTGCAAATTGAAAGTTGTAGTTTTCACACCTTTCCTGAACATGACAAAAGAACTGTATATTTCTTGTATATTCTATGCGAATTGGAAGGTTTTACAGTTTGACACCTGGCCAGAAGAACAATAAACAGGTGATTTCATAGGTATGTGTATACCAGGTGGATGATCACCTGATCTTCCTCAGATTCCATTGATCTGATTTACACAGTACACATACAATAGCATTTCAATTGACCCCCACCCTCCACAACATATTTCATTAATTTTCCTTTTTGCACAACTGCCTCTATATGTCATTATTTGCTGTAAATATAAAATTAGCTCATATCCTAAAGTAATCCCCAAAAAGTAGATGAACTTTATTTATAAAAGTAATCTTATTTGTTAACTTTATTTTTTTCTTTTTAAATGTAATATTTATTGTCAAAATTTCTTTGTGTTCATTACCAAAAAATTATGCAGTATTTATAATGATCGCATGATATAATCATGATCTAAGACTACTTGTATAATAATTTACCCAGGTATTAGTCATCTTTTAGATGAAACAAACATTAATATAGTGTTTCAATTTCTTCTTGGGAAGGGGGGGGGGGGGTTAAACTTTTTACTAATGAGATAGATTTTTCTAATTAATGTTTTTAAACTTAAATTTGCACACTTATTCACTTTATTTCTGTAAAAATTATTTACAAATCAGAGGCCAGAGGCATATGCTTTTAAATTCAAAATACTTGTAATTGTAACCTTAAAAATTGCATTAATTGAAAATTGTTTACACCAATGTCAAAAGTTTTGCACATGCTGCTGCATATATGTACCTGTAACTGTATGCATTCTAAAATGTATCAAGTTTTCAATATCTTTTATTCCATAATTATAATTAATATATTTTATATAATATATTACTTACTAGATTTTTAAAATGCAGATCATGAATTTTGTACATACTATAATTTAATGTATTAAACATCTATGTTTGAAAGAAATATTTTTGGTTTTTTTTTTTTGCAATTTGGGTGAAAATTAATTTCTCTTCTTTCCTTCTATTTTCTACTTAATGATTAGGCCGGAATTAAAAATATCTTTGTTTCCCCTAACCCGACCCTAAATTCTCAAGTTGGGTCGGTAGGTAGGTAAACAATTTTATTTTCTGACAGCATCTTTGAAAATACATTCTAAAATTTAATGGAAAATTACATATTTATAAATAAGAAAAGTACAAAAGAAAGTGATTTGTGAACAAAATGCTAAGTATCATATATATGCCGTTTAAAAGCAAAATTCATGATTAATTAATTCACAACTGTAAGTTAGATGAACTTGTGAAATATCTCACCAGAGTACATTTATATAAATCGAATTAAAAAAGACAAGATTCTCAAATACGCAAAGACTGGACATCGAGTATATTTTTTCAAACCTTCAATCACCCTGCAGTGCTTATAGACGGTCATTGTACTTTTTTGAGGGCCATGAGATTTGCAGCGGTTCTAGAGCATTTTGCTCTAGAGTTAAGACATAAGCGGCTAATTTTAAGTCGCAGGTTTAAATACCAATGAGGAACGTTGAAAACGGTCCTTCAAAAGGGGCCATAAAAACTTTTGTCCAGTGTCGCAGAAGATGCTGGCCCAAAAAAGATTCCACTGCTTAATGGCAAAAAAGTGCGTAGTACATCTAAATTTGGAGCAATGGGGAAATGTTCAAATGTCCCAACAAATCTCGAAGGGATTATAAGCAAAGAAACAACCAATCTTCAAGGGCCTAATTAAAGAAAATGACACTAGACGTCTCAGGAAGTTGAATTATGATTTCAAAACTATTTGGAAAAAGAGTATTTAAACAATATTTAAATGAACCAAACCGAATCTACCAATGATAAAAATGCTATATACAATGTCATAGTCACGAAGTTTAACCCGTAAATGAAGGCATGAAAAATTACAACTGAATTATATTTATCAGGATGAATATGCAGACATATTTACCAACTCCTATGATTCCATAATGGCATAAAGTTAACATAAGAACATAGATGAATTGTTTATCAGATCAAACCTCAAATTAAATAAAATGCAGTGAAATTGAATGATGTGTTCACTAGGTGGGCCCCTCATCTGCTCATGAGGCTGGCCTTTCCATGTATTACGTACCTGAAATTCAACATACAGTTTCGTTTGTTCGTTGTTTACCGTCCCTTTCGAAAATTTATTCACTCATATGGAGACACCAAGACACCTCCGAAACTCTTAATTAGTCATTGTAAATTTTATTATCAAATTGTTTCAAGAGTGAAGAGTTCTAGTTAGCAAAAGGCATAAGATTGAGACATCGCCGTTGTTTTATGAAAACTTCTCTGTAATCACATCTGGGCGCTATTTTGTTTCCATCAAATGCTTGAAAATCACAGTAGAACAATGTCGGTCGTTCTGATAAAAACTGATTTTGATGAAATTGTATTTTATAAAACTTGGTTGACAATAAAAAAAATTTTGAATCATCTTATTTAAAAAAATCTTTTCAGTCGGCGCGTTTTAGTTGGGTCGGTCGCGTTAGGGGAAACAAAGGTATTTTTTATTTTGGCCTTATATTCTCTTCTTTTTATGATACCAATGTAAATTGGCAGAAGAATAAAATGCATGCTATATATATAAAAACTAACACCTAAGTTCACCTGCTCATTACATATAGCTGCAAGACTGCAGCTCTGATCAGAAAAATTGGGATGGAAAACCTAGAGCTACAGTGCCATATTCCATTGAAAAAAAAACTTTTAAAAGTCTGTTATTTTCTTTATTTCTTTCTCCGTTTACATGCATTTAACATGTTTAAACTAGCTGCCACCTAAAAATTTCACTGACTTTTCCTAGCATACTTGATTTTGCAACTTAATGCCACTGCAAAACATTTCCCAAACCCAATGTTTACGTACCTTCTGAGGCCAGAGCCTTAAAATTAGATTATCAAAATTTTCACAGATTTATATATACATGTATTACCGGGGTACGTGTATTATACTGCCATATTTTAGAGCTACATTGAAAGAACATATAAATGTCCTATGCCAAACCTGATCTAGAATTTAGTTTAATTTAAAATAAAAAGAAAAGAAAAATAATTTCCTCTAATCCAAAGTACTCGATCAATTCAGGAGACTTAAAAAAAATCAGGTCGGCGGATCCGTAAACCAAGAAATAAAAAAAAAAATGTCACCTTATATATGATCAATCAGAAATTTTGAACCAAGTCAAAAAGTTTTATCAAGATTTATATTCTAATACAGATTATGAACTGATTGATATTGATTTAGAAGAAATTATTAAGAGGCCGTGTCAGTAACCATTGAGATTTACATGGAAAGTCAAAAATTTTGAATTGGGCAAAAACCACCCTAAAATATTTGAACAACAACAAAAAACAGATTTGAGACAAATTTTACAAATTTATTCATCATCATTGGTTTCCATGGCAACAAATGTGATTTGCATAGTAAATTCTCGACGAAACATTGTAAAATAATACAAATTTAGACATATTTAAATGCAGAGTGGGGAACAATTGGAAGGTCTAAATGTGTTTTCTTATACTGAAGTAATGAAAGATCCATCAGAAGAAAATATCTTTATGTCTGTAAGTATTTTAAAAAAATTTGATATGGTTGCTATGGTAACCGAAAAATGACAAGCTTTTAATGATGGGAATATCTGTGGAATATTAAGTTTTTTCAAAAGTTGAATACTTAAAAACGCAACAACCCTAGATATTGTATGTCATATCAAGTTAAACATATATCCCAATACTATGAAAAAATAAAATAAAAATTGGTAGTCAGGTGTCCCAATTTTTTTTTCCAGGAATCAAAATTGGCAATTTTTTCAAAACACTTTCAATGGAATTTTGCTCATTTTCGCGATTTTTTTTTTACATTACGTCAGATATTTGACAGTTAGATACCAAATTCACAGAAACATAGTACTTTACAATAATCTCCATACAATATATGACTTTTTTTTTACAAAACAATGTAAAAAAATTCTCCATAGCAACGAAATTTATACCTTAGTAACCGACTAACCTGGGATCAGCAACACATAAAACATATATCTAGGAAAAAAAATCCTCTCAAGTGGAATATTTGGGTCATGGCATCCTAATCTACTGTCAACCCTTTTATATTTACCCTATCATGTTAGTAATAATAAGTATCATTGTGTACAATGTCTCGTACAATATACCGGGTAGTCAAATTGTGAACTAATATGTGAAAATTTTACCATATGTTTGTCAAAATGGAGCACCAACCCAAAGCTCTATCTACTCAAAGGCTAATTTTCATTGCTCTATCACTTTTGATATTTAAGTTTATGAACCTAAAAACAACAAGAATTAGTGTCGCTTAAACAGAAGACAACCTTATACATGTACTTATTCACATGAACATAAACCTAAACATCAGCAAGGCTTCCTTGTGAAAATTTAGCTTTAAGCAACTTTTTATTAAAGTTCACCTTATTTACTATCAAAGATCAATCAACTGGTCAAATATTAATGCTCACTAAAAGTATCATATATTTGTACGTAAAACAAGTGTTTCATTGAATATGAATAAGCATTTCATGTTTATGCAACCATCTAGAGCTAGAGCAGTACAAACAGGATAAATACCACACCCAACCCCCTTATGGGGCAACACCACTTATATCAACAGTACTATATAATGAATTTAACGAGTTATTCAAGCATAAAATGAAGGTCACATGTAGAATCCATTGCATTATACACTGCAGTCATAGACATTAAACCATGCAAGCAAGTTTGGTCTATATACCACTTATACCAGTAATAATGTGGAAAGCTGTACTTTACGATGTCTTAAACAGGAACAGACCTAAACACTTCGCTGAACATATCCAAGCGTTGTCCACAGACAGATGGACTAGCAAATAGGGTGATTCCTACATTCCTCTTCCAACACAGTTTGATATTATAACTAATATTAAGTACAGGACAAGAATGCCCCGCCGAAGAAATGTTAGTAATGCAACATGAAAAAGTGTATGTATAAAAATTTGATTAGTTTGGTTCAGGTAGGGCTTGTGGTCACTAAAGAATAAAAATGAAGGTCAGATCCAGAATCCGAAGCAAGTCTTGTAGTGTCCATCCCTAGATGCATCATCCATACAAGTTTGGTTCAGGCAGAGCTTATTGTTCCTTGGGAATGAAAATATAGGTCAGATCCAGCATCTGAAACAAGTCTGGTAGGGCTATCTCTAGATGCATCATCCATGCAAGTTTGGTTCAGGCAGGCTTATAGTTACTTGGGAATGAAGAAATAGGTCAGATCCAGCATCCAAGCAAGTCTGGTAGTTTCCATCTCTAGATGCATCATCCATGCAAGTTTGGTTCAGGTAGGGCTAATAGTTACTAGGTAATAAAAATGTAGGTCAGATCTAGCATTCTCAGCAAGCCTGGTAGTGTCCATCCCTAGATGCATCATCCATGCAAGTTTGTTCAAGTAGGGCTTATAGTTCCTTGGAATGGACCTGCTTCAAAAACTTGAACCTGGTCACTCATCTGGAAAATGTAGGTCAGATCCAGCAAGATCCGAAGCAAGTCTGGTAGTGTTTATCCCTAGGTACATCATCTGTGAAAGTTAGTATCAACTTGTGAAGTTTGATAACCTTATTTTTTGAATGGTAAGTTTAAAACTGAGCTACACACTCATTTAAGAAATGTGAGGTCAAAGGAAAGGTCAAAGTCAAAAAATGTTGATGCAGTTGCATAGCTCTCAACAATATCTATCAGCAAATGAAATTTGATGAAAATTATACCTTAGGTACTTTCTCTGAAACTTAGCTTTGAACAGAGCTAAATGCAAAGTGTGACAGAAGGACGGAAGACGGACATGACAAACACTATATGCCCCGGCCATATTCATTGTGCTGCATAAAAATCTTTATTTTAGTTAGAAAACGTATTTTAGTTCATTGCTTTAAGAGCCATATCAGAAATCTGATTCAAATTGTTAATGTTCCCTTCAGCTGTCAAATCATTTTCTTCATAGTCAGTGTTAGACATCTGCCTTTTCTTTAGCGAAAGTCTACTAAAAAAACTTGCAATTTGAGCTGCTGAGAGGAAATCTCCAAAGTGGAAAATTCGTTCACCATTGTCATTTTTCACACTTCTCATCTCTCGTGCTACTTCTTCAGGTTCACATTTGAATCCTGTTGATTCACCTTGGATGAATTTCTTGGTCATAAAGGATTTTTGCATTTCAGTAAATCTTTTGACTTCTCTCTTTTTTTTAATAGCCCATCCACTCTCTAAAGTGCTAACTCCTGAAGCATCTTCTGATCCATTCAAATTTGCTCCTGTAAGTCTATTTTCAATTAGGGTAGCATATGAAAATCTTGAGCGATCCTTTAAGTCCATTCTCTCCACAGAGAAAGTGTGCTTTCCTGTATCTAAGTGGTTACACAAATGACCATATCTTAAAAATGTAGATATGCATCCATCCTCTGGACAAGTGAATACATTGCTGCAGTCATCTGCACAGGGCGATTCCACCATTTCTTGGTTGCTGACATCTGTACATGAAGATGCTGTAGCACCTTGTTCTGGACATGATGAAGAATCAACGTTTGTCCGTGTTTCCATGGGTGGAGGTGTCAGCATGACCTCGGATACAGACTTGGGAGTAATTTCAGGGATTGCCCAATTTAAATTAATTCCCGCAGTGTCATAATTTATTGTTTTGCCTTTTCCGATCTCATACTGCTTCCAAGCAGTCAAATTTCTGTTGTCATAACTGAAATCAAAAAGCTGACTGATGTTTTGTAATTTCAGCAACATTTTTGGTGGTTTGGAAATTGGTGGCAAAGACACAATAACCTGTACATTGTTCATCTTGTTTTCAATAGCATCCTTGAAGTCACTAGCATTCAAGACATTATTTCCTTCATTCACAAATCTTTTTATGTACCATTTTATATGAGCAGCTTTTCGATCACAAATTGATTTACCACCTTGTGGGTCACAGAAATCCATTCGTTTTATGTTAATATAATTTCTGTTCATATGATTAATGCAAGGAACAACTCCAATGCCATAAAGTGAATGGTAACAGCCAGCATTGTCAGACCGTACATAAACATTCTGTATTGCTGCATTAAGATTCTTTATTCGACCCAGAGTATCTTGCAGAATGGCAGCTGATGTTATTGCATCCTGATTTGCAATATCAAAAACATGAACAAAGGTAGCTGATCTTAAGGTTTCCTCTTTCCATGAGAGAACACTGATATGCCATGACAGCCCTCTTTTAGCAAACCATTTTGCTTGGGATTCTCTGAAATAAATGAGCAATACTAAGTTACAATGTATTTACATTACAGTCAAAGACACTGTAAGTTTCTCAAAATTTTCATAAATTTCTCAAAATATTGTAACAAGAGACCATTAAGTTGCCCTTGGGAACCCCCACCCTTAGGTGATGATGCAATTTCATTTTACAACTACAGAGATTCGGTCTGGAGAAACAGATGTCAGACAGATAGACATGGTAGTTTTAATGTAACACCCCCACCCCAGAACTTGTTTGTGTGGGAGGGGGATAAAACAAAGCACTGCCTTAATTCTACATGTTCTAGATTAAAAATAATTTTTGAGCTTCACTTATTTGACAACGAATTGAATAAACATGGATACATGTTTGAAGTGTGTTAGTTGTGAATAGAGAAGATTTTTCACACAAAACCTGGTCTATGAGGGAAAAATATCATTTTAATGTACAAACTCATTTCTGAGGATTCATCTAATCATGTGGAAGTAGAAGTCTTTTGTTGGGACCATAAAGAAGTTTCAAATATTCAAAAGTGTTAGGGAGATATAGTGATGACGGGCTCAGCTCAGCTTCGGAGGCAAAGACAGTGTTCATATGAAGTCTGAAATCTATTGGATCAAAATTGTAACTTATATCTTGCTTACAATGTATTTTAATGCAAACCTATACACTGAGAGACAAATCCAAGTACTGGTACCCATGAAAGCTTGCATTACAATACCCCCCCCCCCCACCCATTACCCCCTCTACCCTGCAACCTTGCTGTGAGGGGATAGTGACCTACAAATTACAATAGAAAGATTATGTGAAGGTATGCTGATTATGCAATCAGCCTAAAAGTATTGAAAAACACAGAGAAAGTAATACCTGTATTGTAGGGGAAGGAACTTCATAGCCCAATCTCTTTCTAGAAGTGCTTCATCCGACTTCATATTTTCCAAAATATTCGTTCTTGCTCTGTCTTGGTTTACAGTGCGAAGTATGTGCATTTTCCACTCTTTAATCAACTTCACACTCTGCAAGTAGATAAGTGTATCCCATTAAGTTTTTGATAATGTTACATGTAATATACATCTCCCTTATATAAATTAGGTTATCTGAAATTCAGTTAAGAGAGGCAATAAATGGATGTTTTTAGATGTTTGATTCTGGATCGATGTGAAAATTTTCCAGGAATATCTAATACCTTTCATGAAACTCAGCAGTAAAAAACACCTCGCAAGTTTTACCCCACCTCTGACTAGTTTGCAGTGACAACTTGGTCAGTGATTGGTTCATAATAGGCACGTGAAAGCAGTGTGTATCTTATATCTGGTCACCTTCAACTTTATATGCTGTTATCTTCAAATGAATTGAGGGGATATTGTGACATCACTTTATTCCCATTGGTTTTTTTTTGACATCACAGCAGGTAAACTTCAGGCAACAATAATGAAGCAATGACAGATTTTTAAAAGATGGTAAATGTCAAAATGGTCATTGGTGGGGTAAAATCAGTACTTCGTCATAACATGACCAGGAACAGAATAAAAGCTACTACCCAGATTTTATCCCTAACTTGGTCACTTGACAATTAGGTACCTAATATCGGTACAAGTCAAATATTGATTTTATACATTAGGTTAAATACCTCTGCAGCTGTATATTCAATGTCATCTTTCTGGTCATAATCAGTGAAGTCTTGGCAACTAATTGCTCCCTGTAACTCATCCAACAGATTGGTGATGCTATTGCATTCATCACAAAGTTTCCAATGTGAATGGTCACATTCCTTTGAATAAGCAATGTCTTCTGATGACAGGGCATAAGTACAGCAGTGGTCAGGTATTTCAGAGTTTTCACTGATATGCAACTGAAAGTAACAACAGGAAATTGTTTAATTTCATCTTCTAAGTATGTGAGTGATAATTTGAACTTCAAATTTGAATCTATGCAAACTTGAATCTACACAAAGGGTGCTTACATATTTTTTGACTAGCTGTGGGGTTTTTTCCCAGTAAGTTATTATATATTTTTGTTGTCCCACCCAATCTTGGGGGTCATAATTTTAACAAATCTTTATCTTAACTATCTGAGGATGCTACCACATATACAAAACCAATCAAGATTTTTTTCTATACATTCCCATGTAAAACTTTGATCGTCCATTGTGGCCCCACCCTACCCCTTTGGGTCACCATTTAAACAAACTTATATCTACACTATCTAAGGATACTTCCACATGACCAATGATGGTTTTGCTGTTCTCAAGAAGATTTTTAAAGATTTTTCAAATATTTTCCTATGTAAAAATTTTGATTGTCCATTGTGGACCCGCCCTACCCCGAAGGTTTAGGTGAATGTTGGAATATTGGTAGTCCCAAAATTAAAAGAATCTACAGTAAATCAACAATTTCATCTGAAAAATTAGTAGTACCTTGTAGTGAGCTTTTAAGTACTGCTTTCCTTCATTAAGCAGGCCAGTCATCTTCTCTGACCATTCATGTCCTTTTCCAAGCTGACCCAATACTTTGACAACGTTTTTGAGGTCATCAAAAGCCTGGCTCCCATCAGCAGCAAAATTATCAAGTCCTTTCATTGACTTCCTGATACCTGGTTCAACTGCTTCCAAGATCCTCATATATGACCTTTCAGAAAGAACATTTCGAAACTCTTCTTCCTCACAGAACTTCAAATATAATGATACAGTTCTAGTCCGTACACTGTTCAGAATTATTTTGGGAACATTCAAAGTGATTCCTGAAGAGATTTTATATGAACAAGTGCCAAATGGTGAATCAGTCATTATTGCTGGCGACATTATGAATTCTAGGAAATGTTCTATCTGCTCCTTGGTAGCTTTTTCTCTTGTCTGTAATCTTTTCTCTACTGGCATGCCTATGCCGTTGATGGCAGCATGCTTACGAGCTGCAGTATACTTGTATTTTGACAGAGATGGTATATGCTCCTTAATCTCATTGTAACTGTGGTCCTCCACCAATAAAGAAAGAAGTTGTCTCTGAGTTCCCCAGCTGGTCATGCTAGAATAAGCTTCTGAAATAGATTCAATAATGTTTGTGTCTTCACTGTCTGGATTGCTTGAATAAATAGCCTTTTCTAACAGATCCTCTTGGTTCGGGGCAATAATAGAAATGATGTTGTGAAGAATATCTTTTGATTTTTTAAGATAATCATTCTGTGTCCTTTTTGATGCAGATTCGAAATTGACAGTTAGTGTTTTTTTGATTGGACTAACACCTATGGCATCAAGAAAAGTATTCAAGGCCTTTCTTTTACGGAGAGGACTGTCGTCATGCTCTTGGGAATCCTGCCATTCAGATGATAACTGACTTCCAAAAGATGTTGGTTGGGAAAAGTTGTCTTCTATAGTTGATTCCACCTACAAAATAAAGATACAAAATAAATCCAACAAACAACTTAATTTAAAACAACTGGCACAACTGTTACTCATGCTATGACAGTGTTTCACAGCCCTGAGCCAAAGTCACCACTTCAATGTCAAGGTCAAGGTAAAATTTGATGGAGTTTTCAGGTCTGCATTTCTATATGCCTCATAGAACAGCTTCATACTTGGCATACAATGCTTCTATCAATAAGGTCATGAGCCTTGACCCTTACCCAAGGTCAGACTTTGATGCCAAGGTCACAGCAGACTTCAATAAAATTTTCTTGTCTGATATGTATTATCCCACTTGGCTCAGAAGAAAGCTGCATACATGACATAAATGCACCCCATGATATCTCGGTATTTCACAACCTTTTACTACAGCTTAGGTCAGCAATATAGGCCGATTTTAGGCCTCTTGTCTGTGCATAAAATAAAAGTTCGTAGGTCAAATAACTTTTGATGATCGCATCCAAATCTTTTCAAGTTTGAGGTTTCCAGGACAAATAGCTTTGAGTTATCTCTTGACAAAGAAATGGATAAACAAAGTTATTACTATAGGGCTCCCACATCTTTGAGGCTCTTATTAACAAGCTAATGCTCAAAGTAATTTTAAACAACTCATAACATGTAAAAACAAAATTCAGTACAAACCTCTGATTGTTCAATATGTATTGGAGCTAGTTGTACTTCACGGTCATTTCGTAATTGCAACTCATCATCATCATGATTCTCCTGAAAATATTTTACAACTAAGTTTACAAACTTACTTGACCCTATAGCATATAATTATATAGTGGATGAACTTTATAATAAATCAGTGATTTTAAAAGTAGTTTAAAGGAGGATAAGTTTGTGAAACAGTATGTTCCCATTTAGAAAAACTAGTTTTAGGCTTTTTAGCATAAAGGTCAAAGCCAAAATGTCACTGACCTTGGTTTCATTGAAAGTGCTTCATTTGTGGAATATGCATACCAAATATTAAAACTCTATCTCACAGTTCAAAGTAATGACAAAGGTTAAAGTTGACAACAGATAGACAGACAGGACAAACAAAAACATTCCCCTGCTTTTGGGCATAATTCAATACATGTAAAAATTTCAACACAAACCTCTATTTGTTGTAAATGCATTGGAGCTGGTTGTAATTCATGGTCATTTGGTAGCTGCAACTCATCATCATCAGGATTCTCCTGAAAATATTTTACACTTTACCCTATAGCATATATAGTGGCTGAGATATAAGACATTAAACTGGACAAAGGGTATACTCCATATAACTTACATGTATTCTCAACTTTGCTGACATGAAATAATTACAGTGTTCAAGGTACATGTGTCACCTGCATTACTATTGAATCTAATGTTTTCCTTGACCAGGAAGAGATATCATCACAAGAAATCAACACATGAAATCTCAACTCCCTGTATCACTTCCCATGTAAAAGTTTAATATGGCCAATGTTATCTTTTAAAAAAGAACATAACTCCATTTTTTAACTACAGAAAGGTCTTGTCACTAACAATATGTATCCTATTACACTTTTTTCATAAGTTGTAGGCTGTGATATCTAAAGTATGACAGACAGACACCTTTAAATATTATCACTTAGTGTTTGCAATGCTTTGCAGAAAACACAAGTGCAATTGTTTTGGAGAAAAAATAAAATTGCATTATCCTGGTTTCATGTAAATATTACACTCTTTGTCGTCACCACTTACATGACATTTTGTACTTTCCTCTTGTTCCATTTCTGCAGAATCTGTTGCCATTTTCTGTAGCAGTTCTTTCCTGCAGTTGGTGCATACTCCTGCAACAATTATGAAAATGCAAAAATTTTGAATGCAGGTACAAAAATTTATGAAGCACAGCCTCCCTTTTTTTCTGCATTAGCACAGTCAAATAAATACATTCAGTTATTTTGAAACAAAAGACATAATAGAAAATAATATTTTACCCAAACAGGCATATACAAACTGATAATTTGCTTCAAGATACACAATACAACATATTTGCACGTGCATGTTCTTGACTGTCAGACAAAGGAACAGATAGACAAGGTTTACAGATTACCAAACTAAGTGTTCAATATACAAATGCCCCTGCTAAACACATGTTCTTGAAAGCATCGAGACAAAGTGATTCATACATGCTTCTGCTGGCTAACAGCAGGTATGATAAAAATGTGTTATAGTGTAGTTACACTGAAAAGAAAAAAAAATCAACAAACCTGAACCAATTTGTATAAGGACATCATAATTTTTCTTGAGAAAGAATGATTGTTCTTTTGTAATGGTTCCTTTTGAATTGCTCCGGCTCTTTTTTGCACATTTCCATCCTAAGGAACACATCTTGCTTGATCTCCATCCAACCCCAAGAATGTATCTATAATTCAAGAACAGTTTAAAAATAAATAACACAATCAATCTGGAATGCACATGTGTACATGACATTTTATAAAGGCAAAAATCATTATAATGTTGATGTAGGGCAACATATCAAAGTAAAATAAAATAAACAAGTGTTTGAGAATATAATATTTAAGGAATCACTGTCTAGTTTTGAGAGTATGCCAGGGCATCAACAAAAGTGGGAAACATGGAATAATTTGCATAATGGGCAAAGCCCCGTTATGCTAAAATTATCCCATGTTTCCCACTATTGTTGATGTCCCTGGCATACTATCAAAACTAGACAGTGATTCCTTATATTTCCATTTCATTGTGAAAACATATAGGTAATCAGGGATTACAGTGCTCACCTCAACGAATATTGTCTCTAAGTAAGGCAAAGTCACACAATTAACCAACAAAAATTGTACATTTCAAAAATTAAAATATTTAAGCAATTTTGATCTGATATTTTGAAATATACCTACATAAAAAATTTAATCTAGTTCTTCTTCATGAAATTGTAATCAAAATCCAGCATCTGAAGCAAATTTGACGGTTTTCATCTCTTGATGCAACATTTGTGCATGTTTGGTTTATACAATGTTATATAAGCCATATAGTTCTTTGGAAATAGACCTGCAACCATAACTTTTACCGGGTCTAATATCTGAAAAATGTATGTCGAATTCAGCATCCAAAACGAGTTCATTAGTGTGCATCCTAAGATGTATCATCCAAGTTTGCTCATCATAGGGCTATAGTTAATTGGAAATGAAACATGCATCAAAAACTAACATTTTCACTCATCCACAAAAAGTAGGTCAGATTCAGCACAAAGGCAGCCGCACAAGATTTACATGCATTTTTGGCCTCCTTAGCGTCAGACACAGAGACAGATGTGCACAAGATTTGCATTCGTATTAGGCCTCCTTAACTCCTGACCTATCGACCTGCCTAATTTACATTTCGGCAGAATTATCAAGAAATAAACTCCGTCAACTTTCAAAGAGTTATCTCAGAGAAAAAAAAATTAGAAATGGAAATATATATTAAACAATCAATAAGCTTGTATATTTACTAGAAATTACATAAATAATACTGTAGATCACTTAATTTTGGCGATACCTTATTTTCTCGAGATAGTCATTGACTCTTGATTAGGGAGACAAAATTTTCACGAATTGTGGTTATTGCTCTATATAATCTTAAGGAATACTATTAAACGTGAGAATTAAATTTTCGCGAGCACACTGTCTCGCGTAATTACGCGAAAATAAAGTTCTCGCGAATAAAAAGTGATTTACAGTTCATGTAATGTATACAAATGTATAGTGTAATACCTGTGTTTGGGGCAGATGGTAAGTGTTTCATCCTTGTCTTCAAAATGGCCTGCCCGAGTCTTTATTAAATCGTATTCATTCTGTATACTTTTGTGGTTGATTGCAAAATTCTGCAGATGTGAATCTACAGAATTTTGACAGCAGGTCAGGGGTAGTATTGTTTGGGGCCAAGTTTTCTTGTAACCAATCAGTCCACATCCAGAGGTTGATTGACTAAAACTGCATACAAACTGGATCGCACCTACAAGAAAAAACACAACTATGTTAAAGATCAAGTGATCAACTTCAATTTTATAAAATTTGAATTGAAAATCCTTTGAAAAAAATTTTAAGTAAATTTAATGAACAAAATCACCGATATTTAAAGTTATGAAGGGTTTTGATTTAAAAATTTCTGATAGAACAAAGAATAGTTTTTGTTAAATGTGATTTTTGACAAGGTCAAATTGTAATTTGAGGCTTGACCTTTGACCTAAAAATGTACCTGTAGATGTCTTCCTCTCATCACCCATGACGAATGTGTGACAAAAAACCACTAAAGATGATAAAGCCCATGGTGAAGCATTAGTTGAAGTGAAGAATTACCTAAACATAAAATTCAGAATTTCAAGGCAAAGATCAAATATCAAGGTTTATGTTGTATTAATGGATTTGAACATGCCATTGGGGGAAGATGTTTTAAAAATATTTTTCGTTGATTTCTCTAGTGAAAAACAGTTTTACCAAAATTTAGAGTTATCTCTCTTTGTTTTTTCAAACAAATAATATTTTTTTGAAATTTATATAAAAACTATAAAAAAAAAAATCATTAAAATACGTATATTAACTTTTGAGAACTGAGTAGAGGTTGGAGGGAGAACAATGCTATTTATCTTAATCATATATTGGTGTACTGGATATGGAATAAGGCCATCCTTAAAAATATTCTTTTTTGCGGTAACGCGCCTCATCATTTTAGGTGTGGGTAGGTAGGTAGGCTTATTTTTTTTTTTTTTGAGACAAAAAGTCAGAATTAAATTTCGGTTATATAGAGGTATTAACTTTGTCTTAGATTTCACTTTGAGTCACTAATCAAATAAGAAAATTAAGGCATTCTTAATGAATCAAATCTTTTATTGTTCAAATATCAGAAGAAATCAGTTTGTTTTTTTTTTAATGGCATCTACTGGTGCAATGGGGACTAATAAAAATGTCAATAGGATAAAATTAGAACATGGATATGTAAAAAAAAAAGAAAAATTTTTTTGAACCCATAAAAAAATTCCAGTAGGGTGGATTTTGGTGAGTCGGTCGCGTTACCGCAAAAAAACAATTTTTTAAGGATGGCCTAACAGACTGCTGTTATCATGGAAAGGAATGCTATACTGTACAGGTAATGAGGAATAGCGGGTATGACTATGAATATTTATTATTATACGATTATGGACTTTTTTGGTGTTGAATATGTTTTGTTATTCACCAGAAAAATATTCATATTGACTGAGGCAAAGCCAAGTCAATATGAGTATATTTCTGGTGAATAACATACCATACTTAAGTCATTTTCATGCTTTGAGCACATAAGGCCTGCGTAACAAACCATATTCAACACCAAAAGAGTCCATAATTGTTTTATTATATAGTCCAAATTTGAATAAATAAGACATTGAAGGCTGAATGACGACACCATTTGGCATTTCCATTAGCGAACTTCTATCGTTGAAAAAAAAAGTCAAGCTTACAGTTTGTCACCCCCTTGTTTTTTCCGGTGTTTCTCTGTGTAAGAGGTCCAAATGTTTAAAAATAATCCTGCAATAGGTTTGTATAATATGTTTTCTGCTCAGATATCTAGCTTGCTGTGGCTGTTGCAAGCATTGTTTACAACATTGTATGATATGTTGATTGTGACGTCACAATGCCGCTGCATGTGCAATGACCCTCTGGTGAATACGGCCTCAAATCCAGGGAATATGTACATGATGTAGTGTGGGTGCCAGTCAAAGTGCTCCCTAATAAAAACGTCCTGGTCAAAGCGTCTTCTAATTTTAGTCAAAGCGCCCCCTAAAATATTTTTACAGGAAAAATAACACCCATTAAATAATGGTCAAGGCGTCCCCTGATTTTAATCAAAGTGCCCCCTGATTTTGGTCAAAGTGCCCCTAACATTTTTTTTTTTAGAAAATATATCTTTAATTAAACCAATCTTTACTGTCCCCAAGAAATGGTCAAAGGGTCCCCTGGGTTTGGTCAAAGCGTCCCCTAATTTTGGTCAAAGTGCCCCCTTATATAATTTCTTAGGGCCGGGGCACGTTGATTAAAATCAGGGAATGCTTTGACCAATATTTGGGGGCAGTTTGGGGGGATGTTTCATTGTTTTGTAACATCATTTTACCGTAAAATTCTATAAGAGGCGCTTTGACCAAATTCAGGGCCTATTTTGACCAAAATCTGGGGACGCTTTGACCAGGACGGTTTTATTAGGGGATGCTTTGACTGGATTTCATGTAGTGTTATGAACTGTTTGTGCTTGTATAGATTATAAAGGTGGGTATATAAATAGACTAAATAATAATAATATGAAATATTGTTTCAAATATTACATCGTACTTGTTAAATGAACAGTTATAAGCAGACATACAGGAGTGAAAATCTACCAATTTGACCTTATTAGTGATTGATGAATATCAGGTCCAGTACAATCAGTACATTTAGCTACGTAGGTAGAATTACCTAGGTAGCTTTATTTACCTACCTCAGATAGCTTGATTTAGCTACCAAATGAATTTATTTCTATAAAAAAGCATTTTTCTCAGCATGTGCAAAAACTATCATGTTGATGCCGTGATCATTTTCAACTCTGAACTCATGTAAGAACAATTCATGAAATATGAAGAAATGTCTTTTTCTGCGCAATTGCAATCAAAGTTCTGAAAGTTTTGAGACTATGTATGACAGTTACTCTTGAATGAAATGACAAAGAAGTCCAGTTCTGGTTAACATGATAATAGGTTGGTAATTATTCAGCACAATGTAAAGTAATCATACTCAGTCATGCCTCACCGCAAACAATGGAATTACATGTTTTGCTCTAAATTGACCAAACGCAGCAATGTTTAAACTATCTCTGCTTTGGATTGTTTTTTAAAGACAACCTAGTATAAATATCAATAGTCATTTAACTGCGATTTTTTGCCTCTTTTCCATAAAAGAAAAGTTACATTGAAATAGCTAAATAAAGCTACCTGAGGTAGGTAAATAAAGCTACGTAGGTAATTCTACCTACGTAGCAAAATGTACTGATTGTACTGGACCTGGGATATGTTCTCAATAATTTAGTCTGAAATATCTAGCGTCTTCCGGGTTTTCAGATATTTTCTGAGCAAGGAAAACGTCAGGACCTGCGCCATTACGAGAACTGGAAATTTCGCCGTCTCCAGTCAGAGTTGATTTTCCATACCTGGGATCCGAACCGCGTTAAACTGCAATAAATGCTGTTGTCTTATTTTTTCAATGACACAATGCGTGTTGTACTCGGTAATGTCGATGAAAAAAAACATCACTCGTCATTTTGATTCAGGACTTGAACTTTTTTTAAATGTGTTAAAATTCACGAAATGAAATCTCGACGGTCCATCGTATTTTTTTATTTTATATTAAAAAGATGTTGGTGAGTACTAGATGCATTGCACTATTGATAAATTGTGAGTTTGAAATTTCATTCGCTTTGCAAATATCGAAAAACAACCCGAAATCGGCGAGAATGCCGCCTCTGGTTGGAATACCGAGTTTTCGGAAAGGCGCCAATTTTGACGGTTTTCTTGCACAAATAATACAAAAATAGTTAAAAAGCCATGAAAACGTCAGATATTTCGGACATTAAATAATAATTTTCAGTCACCTTCAATCGCTTGATGCAGTCATGCCCCCTGTAACCGCACAAGAGCTACATGATCAGTACATGGTGTTTTTTTTTCTCTCCGACGTCTGCTGCAACTCCAACTTTCTGTTCTTCATCAGCAGGAGAGTTCCACAAAGGGGAGATAATCTGCTTACGCGCGTTCATATTTGTGATACATTGTAAATCAAATTATTTGCTGTAGACTATCCAACTACCATTTTTTATGATTGGATTTATAACTTCAAAACCCGTAGTTTTTATTGTATGTATGATCGTGATAGAGTTTGGTTGCGTTTTTGCGTAAAATATTTATGAAAATTATGGTGATTTTACAGCATTTGGTAAAAACAAAGCAAAGTAGGGCCCAATGCTTTAAAATAAATATGGAAAAAATTAAATCTGCCTTATATATTGAAATTGAGAAAAACATAGTTTAATTCTGTAATTAATTTTGACAGGGTTATCAATAATCAAATTTCACACTTTTCAAGCATTAAAATCGCTGTTGCTATGGTAACAAGGAAGATGTGACCCACATAACTCATGTTTGAAAAGACATTCATCTATACTTCCATGCGTCCAAATATTAAAGCAAAATATTTTTTTTCACATTCCACTCACTTTATATACAATACTCAATGGTTACTGACACGGCCTCTTAACTCAAATGAAATTCCAAAATTAGATAAAATCACCTCTTTGATTAAGAAAAAGATATTGAAGAAAATGAAGTTTTACAAGTTGTAAAAAATATGAAGAATGATAAATCTCCTGGAAGTGATGGTTTCACAACTGAATTTTTGTTAATTTATCTGGAGTGATCTTAAAGTCTACGTACATTATGCGAGCTATAAATTGTATATCGTCAAAAAAAAAAAAAAGAAATTCCTATTTCACAAAGACTAGGAATAATTTAATTCATGTATACCCAATGGGAATAAACCAAGACAATTTTTGAAAATTTGAAACCATAACTCTACTAAATTACAGAATAACACTCAAACTGAATTCCTAAAAGGAAGATATCTTGGTGAAAACACCAGATTTATTTATGATTAAATGGCATATACAGAAGCTAAAAATATACCAGGATTATTGGTTTTAATCGATTTTGAAAATTTAAAGCTTTTGATTCAATTTCATTGTTCATGGTCTTTTATTTATAAAGTATTGAACTATGTTAGTTTTGGAAATAATATAATTAATTGGATAAAAATTCTTAATACAAATTTTAAAGCATCTGAGTTTTGCAATGCAGATTTTTATCAGAACAAGTGACATATATTATATTCATGGTGATGGGAGGGGCTTAAAAAAAAAAAATCTCTGTGCTGGTAAAAATCTCAAATCTACCAGCCCATGATAGCAGGGACCTATATACTTTTGTTAAAAAAGGTTACTAAATGATCTGTTCAAAGTACTAGTACTATTTACAAATATATCAATAAAGTTTAGATCAACTTGTTTAGAAATTACTATAAAACTTTAATTTACTAATCAAAATTGAATTGGATAAGATAAATACAGTGTATAGGGTAATTTAAATTAGTCTGGCCTGAAATGGAAGTAAATGATCACCCAATCCTACATGATCACAATGATTTGATCAGTTTGTGTGTAGTACACACCATCAGGTACTGTTAGTAGAGTTTGTGTTTGTCAGACAGAGTGGGGGGTACAGGTAAATCATTTGCGATAGGTATATACAGTATCAGGTGTGTCATGCAATGCTCAAGTCTGGAATATAATTATCAGTGTAGCTAATTAACTTCAAGAATCAGGACTATTATAATCATAAATAAAGGTAAGAAGCTGACTTTTACCCGCTTAAATACTTACATGAGTGTGGTTGTTTTTTGTAATGTAGACCTTTGAAGCCATAGGTCATGATCATGCTAATATGAATTAAACATTTTAAGTTATGAAAATATGTCAATTGTTGTGATTTTGTAGGCATAGTTCCCTCTGTACCCTGTTTAAATTCAAAAATCAAATAGTTTTAGGATAAAAGTAAAAAAGGTGTATTACTGTTAATCATGTTAATAAGTAACCACTGTACCCATTGTAACCCGGATACATTGACAGTCCTTCAGAAATTTTCTACTTTCATTTTCCAATGGTTTTGTACTGTACCCTAATTGTAACCTTATTAGTAAAGGATAAATAGAGGTGTACCCTAGGGTACAAAAGTATCACCTAAAAACGCAGTACCAATTTCTTGCCATATATGACCCCTTATCTCAACTGGTAGAGCACTGGACTAGCAAGCCAGAGCCCTGGGTTCAATCCCCAGCAGAGGCAAAAAAATTGTCTCTGTTTCAGAAACGCTATATCAAGCTATTCAGAATAACTTATTATATATATATATTCAAATCAATGAGAATATAGCAGACCTGCTGGAAAGCACTCTGGTAAGAAACACGTCTCAACACTATAACCTGATGTAGACTAACCACAACACTTGATGATGATACTCTATAATTTTGGAATGTTTCATAATCATCGATTAATTTTTATCTGCTGCTTTGTTACATTGAAAGGAACTGTCAAATTTTCCGAGGAAATTCGAAATAAACACATGCTTATTCAAGTTTCTTCACATGTGACTTACCATGAGGAAATTGCAGGGCATCTGTGCTAAAGATTTTTCTGCGTTCCTCATCTCTTTCTGTCTCTCTTTTTGTTTCTCTGCCTTCTTTCGCTGTCCTGTCTTTTTCTTCGGCATTTTGACAAATACTTTCCTGAGAGTGACAGTTCTCTACAAGAGTTCACTGCCCTTCTTGCTAGCAACTTCCGTTTGAAATTATTTGAATCGGTAACTGGAAAAACCCGAAACCCCCCGATTTTTGGAGAATACCCATACAGGAGAGGTGAAACCCCAATAAAGTGGTGGAAACCCCATAAAATTGAATGTAATAGGGTACTATAAGTCCTACGGTGATGTTTAATTGAATGATATTGACATCCGTAAATTTTTATAGCCAATTTTACCTCAGAATCTTTGGGTTTCTTCTTTTCTTGATATACTGCACACGGGTGCAAGATGTTTCGGGACCACGACGTTTCGGGACCTGACAAATACGACGTTTCGGGACTAGCGACAAGACGGTTCGGGACTTGGGTAAAGACGATTCGGGACTTGTGTTAATTTTTTTCGGGATCTCAACAAATTATTTTATTATGGTAAAAAGCATAAAAAAAATTATTATTCTAAGTACACATATACGTACTATTTCAAGCTTAATCCGAATTTTAATATTTATAATAAAAAGTGTCATAAAGATATACTTTGATGTGTTTTTTTCCATAACAGACGAATAAGAATAAATCTTTACAAAATTCATTTTTATTTCTAAAAATCCTATCAAATTTTTTTATTAGTTATTTTTTCTTGAGTGTGTGGTAAGGGGGTGGGGCATACTTTAAGCTTCTCAGGTTGATGATATATATTTCAAAAATATTCAAGTGATTTCCAGCTACCGTTTTATATCTTTAAAAAATATGTCAGCAAATTGTTAAAACAACAACTTAGGTCAGGTGTTGGTGTTACGTACTTGTATAAAAACACCGCCGGTAATTGGCAACTTAAAAGATTGTATGGTTTCTTTTGAAATTATTTGAAAATAAAATTCTAAAAATATGGAAAAAAATATCGTTTTCTTTATTGGTAAATGAAATAATTTAGAATCAAACAATATTTATAAAATAGCAATGATTTTCCCATCATCAAAATATAAACAATGATAAAGTTTTCAATATGTTTTGAACTTGATTTTGTCTATTTTTTCCCGAACGGTTTCAAATATTTTTTTTTTCAAAAAGTGTTTCCAAAACATTGTCAACGATCATAGGCAGTTATGCCTGCTGTTCAATCCATTTCTATGAATAATATATTTGAATTTGGACTTTCGAGGGATTAATTTTTTTAAAATGATAATTATAAATTCTATAAATTGATGTTTAAAAAGTTGAATATGGAACATTTCAGATTCTGATTTAAAACAACTACCCGTAAAACGTAAAGTTTTTACTGCTCGTGTGCTAGCTTGAGCCTTTGTAAATTCTGTAAACAAATATGAAATTAAATACCTAAAATATTATTAAATAACGAGAGAAAGAAATCTTAAAAAGAAAAACACGTCCGTTGTCTTTACACAGCAGTTACGACTGTATTCTACAAACTCTCGTATCAAACACTATAAATAAATCAAATACATTATATTTAAAAAAATATTTTTTGAATTAAATTTTGGTCAATTGTTAACCATCTATTTTATAAAGGTAATATATCAAATAATGAAATAAGAAATTAAAGAGACAACACCGCGGGCGTTTGATTTTATCGGCAGGCCTGCTCCATGCCGTATGCAAACTTTAAAACTAATAAAAACTCCATTCTGTGCTTTTTAAATTATAAATTGTGTATCAAATTAAGAAATTATACATGTATAAACTTAAAAACACAAGTAAACAAGTTTTATTTCATTTCCTTAACAAAATATTTAGAAGTCCCGAAACGTGTTAGCTCAAGTCTCGAAACGTGTTAACCCAAGTCCCGAAACGTGTTGTCAGGTCCCGAAACGTCGGGGTCCCGAAACGTCGCGGTCCCGAAACATCCAGAATTCCTGCACACCACGCCCGATCTAAATTCGCGATCGCTGTCGTTTCGAGTAATCCGTGGAAATAATTACTGTAATCTTGATTAATATGAATATTATATTATGTATGAATATTATTTTTAAAAAAAATTATTTGTAAGGAAACATTAAGAATATAAAAGAAGTATGAAATATTTATCATGTTGAAAGACATTACAGTGCAATGTTTAATTGAATTTTTTAAAAAGAATTTAACTAGTCCATTAATCAAGAAATAAAGTCATTTTTATAAATTCCAATCATTTATAATATGTAATTAAATTAAATTAATTAATGAATGAATCTGTTAATGTAATTATTATAATGAAAGACATTACAGTGAAATTTTTAATTGAATTTTTTTTTATGAATTTAACTAGTCCATTAATCAAGGAATAAAGTAATTTTTCTGAATTCCAATCATTTATAACATGTAATTAGATTAAATTAACTAATGAATGAATTTGTTAATTTATTCAATTTTTAATTAAGGTGTTTGTTTTGAAATGTTTTCTTCTATGTTTAATAATTAATTTTTAAATTCATTCATGATTATTTTCCAGTTACTAATTTTTTGTTTTAATGTTTTTTTTTGTTTTTTTTTTTTTGGAGGGGGGGTTATTTTTGGTTTTGTTTTTTGTTTTGTTTTGTTTTGTTTTTTATGCAAGTAATAGAAAAAAAATATACTCATTGATATGTGAAAGCAACATGTATCCATTACAATGAAATTATTAGAATCCAGGTCTATAAAATAAAAAAGTCTGATAAAAAATAATAAAAATGTGCATGTTGCATATGTGAATCCTTGTACAGTTGGCATTGTAACATTATTGTGAGAATATTATTCACACCCCAGCTAGCTCTGTTGTTTTGTACTGGGATAGACAGGCACCCCTGTGTGTGTACATGCACTATATACACAGCTGTTGACACTTGGTCAACTTGATAATAAACACCTTTTGTTTAAACACCTGGGTTCCCAGCTAGTCTGACCAACCCCCCTCTGGCAGGGCATGTGTATATACATTGAACCTTTACTATTCTCAATTGTACAGTTATGCTTTACAGAATTTCATTTTAAGGACGATAGCACGTACACACATAAGGAAAATATGAATTTTGATAATTCATGACAAATTAATAAATAAAGACCTTTTAAATTAGTAATAACTGAAAATATTCATAGTTTCCTTATTTTCCCAGCTCTATAGCCGCGTGGAGGCCTCCTTAAAGTGTAGAGCCATGATTTGAATTTTGAAACAAAAATATTACAAGAAACATATATTGACGCAAGCGTCAAAAATCGGCCACAAACCAATTAATTGTTCCATATACGTTTGATATTTAGTACCGGTAATTAGAAAATGAAATTTGCGTGACCTGTTTTTAAAATTTCTTATATTTTTCTATTAAAATATCCTCGTGACATGAAACACTTGCATACGACATTGCTGATTTCTTCCATGCATAATGCATGTACAATATTATATATGTATAAGCAAACTGTCCATAGACCTCTGCGTCGGTACTTAAATTGTAAACGAACCGCTCTGGTGGAAGTTAATGTTTAAGTAGTTTTCACATAAAAGTACAGAACTAAAATTTAAACTAAGCTTTAGTTTTATTTTAATAAAAACGCAATTAACAAATATGAAATATGTCGGGCTCTTCGCTCTCTCTAAGAGGATATTAACACCCCCCCCCCAAATCTCCCTCTAGATCCACCACTATATTTCTTCTTTTTTGGTGTTGACATGTGGCGGGAAAACGCATGGCACATTGTAAAACGCGCTTTATCCTAGAGACTAGACCAAAATGTTGTAAGATTCTGTGCTTTTAAGAAATAAATATTTCATCAAATTTTTGAAAATTTTCCATAGAAAACGTATAAATATACACGTCATTTCAAAATAAATACAACAAATCCCGTTTAGGCTGTTTAAAAATAGAAAGTAAAATTGTTGATTCACAACGCTGTCTTTGTTTTAGACTATGCCTACATATAACTTCGCCGCACTTTAATCATGTCGGAGTATGTCAATCAGGATTGGATGAAACACTTATACACTGTACCCCCATTATTTATAAGATTTTAATTTTATTATTATTGTGCTTTTTGTTAAACATTTAAAAATATCTATTGATATTCTATAATACGAACGTTAAATATTTTTATTCAAATCGTTGTAACTCCGCAGCAACGCAGGTCGACTTCAAACTTTCATATCAAGTAACCGACCGCCTCCTGGCGGCCGGAAAAAACCAAAGGACCGAAAGATGACCGAAAGATAAAAAATAAAAAAAACTTAAAAAAGATTTTTTAAAAACTTAAAGATACTGGATCATTATTCCTAGTCAATCTTTTGTTCATATATAAAAATATTTGTTAATTTGTTAATTTTGCTTTGAAGCTTTTGGAATGCCATATACGACAGCCAACTGCTTACTGCCAACTGCTCACTGCTTACTGCCAACTGTCAGCTGCTTACTGCCAACTGTCACATATATTTGAATAAATTTTCATATTTACATTGATATTAATGTGAATTTTCAAAAAAACAGACGCGGATCCAGGATTTTCTTCCAAGAGGGTCACCCCAGTAAAAAAATCCAACCCGGAAATTTTTTGACAAGAAGAATAGAAAAAACCGTTAATGCCTTTCCTAAACTATTTTCGGCCGGGGGGGGGGGGGCTTCCTATACTTAATAGCTTCATATAATTTAAAATAATTAAATAAATAAATAATATTTTTTCAATGGGCCTTTACCAATTACTGTAATTGTAATTGTGCCAATAAAATATGTGTATTTGTGAAAATTTTTAATACCAGCTTAACACGCATCCGCGTTTTCGGAGGGGGGGGGGGGGTAAGTTGGTTTAGTTTTTACATTAAATACATGTAACTTTACAAATTCCAAAAAGGGGGATGTCCGGACCCGCCCCCTCTCTCTCTCTCTCTCTCTCTCTCTCTAGACCTGAACATATAAAACTTATTTGTAAAAACAGACACATATATCTTTAATTTGAGGAGAAAAAAATTAACTAATAGAATTAACGGATAATTTATTTTTCAAATATCTCGCCCGCGAAGATATTTTTCGATTATTTTTCGAGGGTTTGTGTTAAAGATCAAAAACAGGAAAGATGTTTTGAAAATAAATTAACATTTTCCATTAATTTCTGATTAAAACTGACCTTGGACCCCCCACCCCCCCACCCCCTAGATATGGAGATATGAAGCATACCCTCCAACCCCCCAACCCCGTCGGAATAATTTCAATAAAGAAAGGAGATTATTTTATTTTTTTCGTGTGAAGAAATTTCTTGGTTGGATTTTTTTTTTTACTGGGATGGACCCCTCCTGGAAGAAAATGCCTGGATCCGCGTCTGGTTATTTGAAAATGTACATAATCATATAAAAATAGGTAACAAATTAACTCCCCCATATAGACCAGAAATAGGAGTTCGACAGGGAGACGTATTAAGCCCAAATATTTTTAAAATATTTCTCAATGATTTTTCCAAATTACTTGATGAAGAAAATACTGGACATGTTTCTCTTTCTGGAAAGAAAATTTCCTAACATATTATGCTGATGATCTTGTTTTATTATCGGATAGCCAAAAAGGACTGCAGAACAAATTAGACCTACTTTACAAATACTGTACAGACTGGTGCTTAGAAATTAATACAAGTAAAACCAAAGTAGTGATCTTTAATAAAAGTGGTCATTTTATTAATGAAAAGTTCACACTTGAAAATTCCCTTATTGAATGTGTAAACAAATATAAATACTTAGGTATTATTTTAACCTCATATGGATCCTTCAAAGAAGCAAGATCTCATTTATATTATAAAGCACTTAAAGCTTCTTTCAAATTATACAAAGACCTAAAAGCTGTTCATCCTCCCATCAAAACACTCCTTCACCTTTTTGATCACATGATAAAGCCTGTTGCATTATATGGCTGTGAAATTTGGGGAACCCTTACAGCACGCATACAAGATAAAAACAAACATTTATACGATATTTTTAAAGAGTGTAATGCAGTTGGCAGTAAGCAGCTGACAGTTGGCAGTAAGCAGCGATCAGTTGGCAGTAAGCAGTTGGCTGTCGTATATGGCATTCCATACATATCTCTAAATTCAGATTTTCTCTAAAATATCCTATATGAATTTTTTTTTTAAATTATGGCTCTACAAAAAGGAGGCCTCCACGTGGCTAGAGCTGCATGGTAACATTGGGATAATATGAATAATAATTAATACACAAATTCATATTTTCTTAATGGCTAACGTCCTTACATTTTTTGTTAAGTACTTATTACATAATTAATATTTTACTATTATCATTGTAAAACAAATATAATTGAGGAAATTATTATGAATTATTTTAATATCATCTATACAATATTATATTGACAAACAGCTCGCTTCGAATTTAGATAGGGCGTGGTGTACGGTAAACTCGTAGTGGCACCCGATTTCCGTTGATTCTGAGGTAAAATTGGCTATAAAAATTTACGGATGTCAATATCATTCAATTAAACATCACCTTAGGCCTTATTGTACCCCATTACATTCAATTTTTTGGGGTTTCCACCACTTTATTGGGGTTTCACCCCTCCTGTATGGGTATTCTCCAAAAATTGGGGGGTTTCGGGTTTTTCCAGTCACCCATTTGAATAGTTCATCCCATTTAAATTCGGGTGGGAAAGTATAAAGAATGAGCGGAAACTATCTTTACTATGGAGGGGGAGTTTTATTTCAAATAGTTATTTTTTATGTCTTTTTTTTTAATCTTTGTGCAAACTGAAGATGATTGAATATTTACATTTGTTTTTACATGCATATATATTGTGTAAAAACAAAATGGTTATTGCAACTTATTTGTGCCTCACTTTTTATTTAAAAAATAAAAATTCTGCAAAAAACAGTTCTAAATAAACAGTTATTGACTATTCATTTTGAAAAATTACTACCAGTACCATGTGCAAATGACACCCCCCCCCCCCCCCCCACCCCTCCAGATCGAATATTAGATTTTGTGATACGAAATACTTTGGTATATCGTAACTTTTTCCTTTCCATTACTGCACATGCGCGATTCTTTAACATAAACAGGAAATCGCCCGAAAATAGATTAGGGGGGCCTGTCAAATATTGTAAGTTGCAACAACGTTTGACGACAAATGAAATAATGGGTTTGGAGCCTTTAGAGTTTGCCGAATGCTTGACAGACAGTCCTTCGTTCAGGGAAAAACTACATGATCACGAAAAAGAGCTTGATAGGACAAATAAGGCCATCAAGTCTCTGGTGAATGATGGCAAGGAGCTTGTCAATGCAGCCAAACGTAAGACATTAACTAAATAACTGGTGTCGGAATATTTATTGTGCATTTATTTATGTTTTCATTAATAACATTTATGTAACATTTTTTGCATGGGCTAAAAATTAATAGTGCAAATGATTTTGCTTATATGCATGGAGGTGTGTCCCACAATGTGCTAATAAGGTGAATAAAAATTACAGGTAGCAATTTCAGTGACATTTGAATAATGTCCTTCTTAACAATTCTCATTTGGTATTTAAAATCTGAAAAGGCTGCAGAAAGACATAATTACCCTTAATTATTTTTTTAAAATACATTTTATAACTGCACAATGTACTATGTGCAGTTTAAAAACATCCATTCTTCAATACCCCTTTGATTTACTTCTGCTGTACCTTAAGTAAAAAAAATCATTTTGTTAAAATGTCTCTTGTTAATGTTTGAAATAATCCAACAGAAGTGTTGTTTTCTCCGCTTAAGATTTTAAGAAATAAGTTACCTGTAATGTATTCAATTTTATATGTGATAGACAGGAAATGTAGAGGTAAATACATGGTGAATGTGAGTCACAGGTCATTTAGGGACCACCTACTAAAACTTGGATCAGGATTGATATACATGCAAATATCTTCTGTGGTAAATAATTCAATGATGAACTACTAATTATTAAGTAAATAAAACCATTTCAAAATATTTTTTAAGGTTTGCTATCATCATAAGTTCTGCAGTTGTTAATTTATACAATTTTTTCCATTCAAAATTCTAACAAATAATTCTAATAAAAATTGTCTAAAAAAGATTAAGCATGCAAAGAAAAAGTGCTGGTTTTAACATTTTGTATTTTCACTTTTGAGATGTTACCCACATCATTACTAAGTGGATCAACTCTATAACTTAAGAGCTATGGTTTCCTTATCTTCTTTCCGTACTTGAAGTTTATATTATTGAACTTTGCATATTCTTAGAGTAGGCAAGCCCTACATTTTCAGTTTTTAGAAGCATAAAAGCCATGAAATTTTTTTAAAAAAGTTTTCTTGAATTCTTTCAGATTAGCAAATTGTTGAATAGTAATTGCATGGTATTAGCTACACAAGTAAAATATCAAGTGCATAAATACTGAAACATAGAGATAGTGAAACATCTGTGATATATTTTAAGCTGTTTATTCATGAAAAATGAGGAAATAATTCATATCCCACTCATCGTAAGTGTGCAGGCCTATAGCAACATCATCAGTCAAGATACACACACTTATAATTCACTGCTTAATCTGACAATGGCACTTTGTGTTAAAAAAGGAAATGAAATCGTGCCCTGGTTGATTGCATTTTTATCAGATGTGTGTTATAAGAATATCACATGTTTGTATAATATTACGTTTTGTTTCCTGATATTCTCTCTGTCTGACTGTTATCTGAATGATTTTATAGGAGCAAATCATATGATTTATAGATTAAGGACTGTAATAAAATAGAGAAAGAAAAGACATGAATATTTCAGAATCCAGAATATTTCATTTTAAAGCCAATGTTTTGTGGTCAAAAGAGTGTTTTTCATGACCCCAAATCACAGCCTAAGAAAGTGGCAATTTTCCCCCAAATAATCTAAAACTTTCAATGTACAATTCCTTGCAAAACTGAGAAAAAAGTCTGCTTTTAAAATATCCACATAAAGCATTGGAGATAAAATTGATTTATAATGAAACTATTGAGACTTTAGTCTTAAAATAAACACTTGAAAAAATAACCAAGTTGATTTTCATTTTCAGAAATGGGTAAAGCATGGCAAAGTTTTGCACAGAAAATGATGGATTTCAAATTTGAGTGCATTGGAGAAAAATTGACAGATGATGAAGAAAAAATAGGTAAAGTTATGAAATGGTCTAGAATAAACAGTTATACTGAAAGGGCTGTCAATGCAAAGTTGCAAACTACATCAGGGTTGCAAATAACATTTAAACCTTAGGGGCCATGTGGGCCCCCAACTTCACAAATTTTACCAGCCCACATTGATATTATGGGGCCCACAATTTTTTTTTTCACTTTTTAAAAAAATCTTTTAATATTAAATTATTAGAAAAAAACTTTATTGTTCATAGTATTTAATTATTTATTTTCAAATTTTTCCTGCAGACTTTGACACTACTAAATGTATGAAATTCCATGTTATCATTCAATTCAAATTTGCTTCTTTTGATTTCAGTTGTTTCGGGGCATGTATTTTGAATTAGGCTTAAAAAAATGTTTGATTCCATAAAAACCAAGGGTTGGTATGTCAGGTTTTTTTGGTTTATAAATGATAGGGCCAAACATCCCTGGACTGAATTGAGCAGGTGTTGTATTTACAGTGGACACCCAAAATGGCTGCCCAGTGGCTGAAAACGAACTTCAAAAAGTTGTTGGGGGAATTCTTGTTACAATAATTATTACTCTTTAAATTTAAGGTAAATGTTGACTAGGTTGACATATTTTATATCTTAAATAAAGCTACAATTAATATTTGTTGAAAAATTAGCTGCAATAATGTAGCCCTCTCCAATTTTTTTTTTTTTTTTTTTTGGGAGAGGGCTACAACGCCTTAGGATCTCTATAATGGCGCAGATGCGGCAGTGGATCACTCCCGCACGGATTTCGGCTCAAATTATCAGTAAACGGCTATTTTATTATTAGCTCTTACCTGGAATCCAAATATGTAATTATGCAAAACATAAATCGATCCAAAAATATTCACAACGACCCATATATCGGTTATTTTTCGTGTGTGTCACCAGCTTAACTTGAATTTATCCGCCATGTTTACTGACCTTGATGGCGGTACTACGAATCACCGGAATGCCCCGGAATCACCGAAATGCCCTAAGAAATCACCGAAATGCCACCGAAATGCCCCTTATTTTGTTATATATAAACAAAAAATTAATAAATATTGATGACTTTAACTGTTCTAGAGCCTAGATACCGAATAAAAATGTCATAATTTTAACGTAAGTATTTTTATTTGAACAGAAGATTGTGCATGTTATAGTATCTAAGAAAGATAACTCTCACTGATTAAAGGCACATGCCAAAATAGTCTTATTTTTAATTTTTCCCTTTTTTCTGTTTTAAATATATTCTAAATAATAAGTCATATTTTTCATATCAATTAAAATTTTGTTTGTAATATCATTTACATGTACATATATTCTTGATTTCTAAAAACGGAGTACACTAGTGTAATTTTACTGGAAAGTCCTATCTTTATATCCTTTTATCCTATCTTTATATCCTTTTATCCTTGATGGATTGTATTTTGGGACAGCCAATGAGAATTTAGGTTCTATAGGAGCGGATCTACTAGGAATTCCCTTATTTTAAGCATACGTATCGCTGTTTGCGCAAAAATAACACTTGAAATGGTTTTACTTATCGATGTTTTTGTAATATATTAAAGCACAATCGTTTATAAACATCGACATTTGCTTTATTTGGTTGTTCCAAATTTCAAGCGAAAGTCTCACTACGTCACGCGTGAACTGTCATGGCTGCTGAATATTGCAGCTGGGAAAGACACAGATTTATTTTACATGGTTTTCGAGTTTAACAGGCTATGTTGTTGACAGTGAATAAAAATTCCGTCTTATAAGAAGTAAGTTTAATGTAAAAATGATTTATTTTGCCTCCAATCACCCGTATCAAAAAAATATATTTGCACCATTACGGAGATGCGATGGAATTGTAGCCCTCTCCAGAAAATATCAGATAAAAAAAAATCGGAGAGGGCTACATTATTGCAGCTATGAAAAATGGAATCAGCTGAATGATCAAACACAGAAAAATCCGTCTGGGATATAAAAACGAAAGTACATAGAATAGTAGAAACAAACTACGATCTGATTCTGGAAAAGGTCCTATAAATTCTTACTCGCCATGTGGGCGATAACATTCTCAAAAGCTGGTCGCCCACAGGAAAATTTACTCGCATTTGCGAGTGGGCGAGTGGTTATTTGCAACCCTGCTACATGGGAACAGTAGCATTTTGTCATTTTGAACAATAATAGCTGCAGAACAGTAGCTCTGCAAAAAAATATTGACAGACCGGAGAGCTACAGTGCAAGGCATTGAAAAAAAAACTGTATATTTATTGCATACAAAAAGTGTGCTGTTTCTTGATTTATTTCTCCATGTTTTTCAAACTGTCGACATCACATCAAAATATTACTAACAGTATGTTCCTTACATATTTTTTCACTGTTCCACAACAAAACATTCCTAATAATTTTTGCTAATAGCCCTCCTGGCCCTGAAATTGAGATGATCGAAAATTTCGTCCATTTATACTGCCGTTTTGTTTGCAAGATAATTCGGTCAAATGCGCTTCGTGCAGATGTCAACGTCGACAGTACTTGATAGAAAAGTAAGGATTTTTTTATTTAGCTTTTTAGCTCACCTGAGCCGAAGGCTCAAGTGAGCTTTTCTGATCACATTTTGTCCGGCGTCCGTCTGTCTGTCTGTCTGTAAACTTTTCACATTTTTGACTTCTTCTCAAGAACCGCTGGGCCAATTTCAACCAAACTTGCCACAAAGCATCCTTGGGTGAAGGGGATTCAAGTTTGTTCAAATGAAGGGCCACGCCCTAATTCAAGGGGAGAAAATTGGGAATTATTGAAAATTTGGTGGTATCTTTTATAAATCTTCTTCCCAAGAACCACTGTGCCAGGAAAAATGAAACTTATGTGGAAACATCCTCAGGTAGAGTAGATTCAATTTTGTTCAAATCATGACCCCCAGGGGTAGGGCGGGGCCACAATAGCCGACCAAAGTTTTACATAGAAATGTAAAGGAAAATTCTTTAAAAATCTTCTTCTCAAGAATGACAAAGCCATAATTGATCATATTTATATGGAAGCATCGTCAGGTAGTGTAGATTCAAGTTTGTTCAAATCATGACTCCCGGGGGTAGGACGGGGCCAAAATGGCCGACCAAAGTTTTACATCTATAGAAATATATAGGAAAATTCTTTAAAAATCTTTTTCTCAAGAATAACAAAGCCATAATTGATCATATTTATATGGAAGCATCCTCAGGTAGTGTAGATTCAAGTTTCTTCAAATCATGACCCCCAGGGGTAGGGCGGGCCACAAAGTTTTACATAGAAATATATAGGAAAATTCTTTAAAAATCTTTTTCTCAAGAATAACAAAGCCATAATTGATCATATTTATATGGAAGCATCCTCAGGTAGTGTAGATTCAAGTTTCTTCAAATCATGACCCCCAGGGGTAGGGCGGGGCCACAAAGTTTTACATAGAAATATATAGGAAAATTCTTTAAAAATCTTCTTCTCAAGAATAACAAAGCCATAATTGATCATATTTATATGGAAGCATCCTCAAGTAGTGTAGATTCAAGTTTCTTCAAATCATGACCCCCAGGGGTAGGGCGGGGCCACAAAGGCCAATCAAAGTTTTGCATAGAAATATAAAGGAAAATTCTTTAAAAATCTTCTTCTCAAGAATGACAAAGCCATAATTGGTCATGGGACTACTTTTGGATATAAACTATTCAATAATAATCCCATTTCTGCTTTTTCCCACCCACAGTGCTCAGGTGAGCGATGTGGCCCATGGGCCTCTTGTTGCAATTGAGGTAAGAATTTGGAAGAATTAATCCATGAACAAGCACAATTTTTGTGTGCAATAAATATAGTTTTTCAATGGGTGGGAATGTAGCTCTACGGTCTGTCATATATTTTTTAGTTCTGCAGCTAGAACAATAGTAAATATACATGTTATATATACCAGCAATACCAAAATATTTATTTTTAAAAAATAGACGTTAAATTATTGTGGTTTTGATTTTTTGAACTTGGAATATTGGTAAAAATCACATACTTACAAGGTCCCAGAAGGATACAGAGCCCATGAGGGTTAAAATGTGATATATTTTGTTATAAAGTACATGTATTATTCAATGGGTTTCCCCTGAGCAATTCATTGTGCAACTTAATGAAATAAAATATATGAATATATATAAATTATATATACATATGTATTTTAAGCTGGTTCCTTAAAGGAGTTTGGGAAGCTGATATTGAGAGTTGAAGAGGAGAGAGATAGAATGGTATCTTATTTATATTGCCTTACAATCATCTTGTTTTTCATATGTTATTTTATTTTTAACCTTTCCTGTCAGATATAAAACGTTAGGAAACATTTTTTCTTTTAATTTTAAAGAAAACTACCCATATATATTTCTTTTGTTTATTTTAATTTCTTAAATAATGATCTATTTTAGTTGTCAAAGGTGACAGACTTCTTCCAGCAGTTGGACAAATTTAGGAAGGATCAGATAGGTTCAGTTAAGGTAAGTAAAACATTGAAATGAAACTGAGAGATTAGAGATACATGTGGGGCTTTATCTAGTCAGATACGTATTCATATGTGGGGAAATATGCATTTTGAAGTAGGTACATTTTTAGCTCACCTCAACGAAGTTAGGGGAGCTTATGTAATACCCTCGGCGTCGGCGTCCCAGGTTAAGGTTAAGTTTTTTGGAGCAGTTTTCTTTTAAAGTACTTCTATGTCCTATATTGATTAGACATGCATGGAAGATGCTTCTAGTGTGTTTCATTGTACCAGTCAAAGTTTCAGATGCTGCAATTTCAGCAAAGGAATGACCAGGTTAATGTTTTTGGAGCAGGTTAACATTTTTGGAGCAGTTTTTGGTGTAGGTCTCATTTCCAAGGAACTATAAGCCCTATGTTGACCAAACTTGCATGGATGATACATCTAAGAATGCACACTACCGGGCTTGCTTTGGATGCTGAATCTGACCTACATTTTCTGGTTGAGTGAACAGGTTAAAGTTTTTGGTGCAGGTTTCATTTCCAAGGAACTATAAGCCCTATGTTGACCAAACTTGCATGGATGATACATCTAAGGATGCATACTACTAAGCTTGCTTCGGATGCTGAATCTGACCTACATTTTCCTGTTGAGTGAACAGGTTAAAGTTTTTGGTGCAGGTTTCATTTCCAAGTAACTATAAGCCCTATGTTGACCAAACTTGCATGGATGATACATCTAAGGATGCATACTACTAAGCTTGCTTCGGATGCTGAATCTGACCTACATTTTCCAGTTGAGTGAACAGGTTAAAGTTTTTGGTGCAGATTTCATTTCAAAGTGATTATGAGCCGTATGTTGACCAAACTTGCATGGATGATACATCTAAGGATGCATACTACCAGGCTTGCTTCGGATGCTGAATCTGACCTACATTTTCCTGTTGAGTGAACAGGTTAAAGTTTTTGGTGCAGGTTTCATTTCCAAGTAACTATAAGCCCTATGTTGACCAAACTTGCATGGATGATACATCTAAGGATGCATACTACCAGGCTTGCTTCGGATGCTGAATCTGACCTACATTTTGTGGATGAGTGAAAATGTTAGTTTTGAAGCAGGTTTCATTTCCAATTAACTATGAGCCCTATAGTGAGCAATCTTGCATGGATGATACATCTTAGGATGCACACCAGTGGACTTGCTTCGGATGCCGAATTCAACATACATTTTTCAGATAACGGACCAGGTAAAAGTTATTGCTGCAGGTCTATTACCATAAAACTATAAGGCTTATGAAGCATTGTATAAGCCAAACTTGCACAAATGATGCATTAAGGGATGAAAACTCAAATTTGCATCCGATGTTGGATTTTAATGACATTTTCATGAAGAAGAACTAGTTTAAATTTTTTATATGGGTTTATTTCAAAGTATCAGATTAAAATTGCTTAAATATTTTCATTTTTAGAATGTACACTTTTTGTTGGTTAATTTTGTTACATTGCCTTACTTAAAGACAACATTCGTTGAGGTGAGCTCTGTAATCTCTGATTATCTATGTTGTTTTTTTTTATTTGAATTTTAAAAACAACATTTTATAGGAAATCATTTTGCACAATTTTCTGTCATTGTTGCTTTAAGGAGGAAAAGAAAGCCTTTGATAGACATACTGCAAAAATCTGCCAGTCTTTAGAGAGATATCTAAACCTGAAGTCCAAAATGAATGACAACACCCTTCAAGAGGTATTAACAACTTTAATTTGGTAAAAAGAGAAAAATGTGAACATTTGGCATTTTTTTTATTTTAATAATGTATTGTATTAACGTTCAGGCTGATGCCACTCTTGAGATGGAATTCCGAAGCTTTAGGGAATGCTCCATGAAATATGTCCTTAAATTACAAGAGGTTCAAGAAAGAAAGAAATTTGATTTTGTAGAAACTGTGAGTATGGAAGTAATCATAAAAGAGTTGTTTTAATGTGAAGGAGTGCATTAAGTTACTCAGACTGGCATTTCAATAGAATCTGAATTTAACAATTACACACTTCAAAACAATTTTTAAAAAGATATCTAAGTGATAATTTCTCTCTTACAGATTTTAGCCTTTATGTATAGTTTGTTCACATTTTACCACCAAGGTAAGAGATGCCTGTAAAAATTATGTATTTAAATTTGAATTCCAATGAAAATATTTACTGGTGTATATGCCTATATGTATTGCAGTGACATTGTGTTTTGATTATTTACAATGTAGGTTTTGATGCCAGTAATGAACTCAAAGAGTCCTCTATGCATCTTCAGAAAATCCTTCAGAAGGTAAAACAAACAGAATTTTTAATAATAAAAACGTAAAAAATAGATCACAGTGTGCGCTTTCTTTGTAATGCAGAAAAATTACAAGAGGCATCAGATGAAATTTCTGTACATTAAAAATCTATTTTCTTTCAGACACGGGAAAGTTTTGAAAGTCAAAAGGAATACACAGAGACTTTGATGTTTAAGATGTTGGACAATCGGGTGAGTAGGTTATCTCCCTTAGAGTAGATTGTGCTTTCCAGTATAAACATGACACACAAACATATACTCAGGACTGACACATGTACACATTAGTACATGTACTATATATTGTGTAGTTGGTTATGGAAAACAATTATTCATTAACAGGAAAATACAATGGAAAAGGTATTTAATGCAATGCACAAAGATTTTTTTTTTTTTTTTGCATGTGCCAAAATTTATTTCACAATTCAGTCTCTTCTTACATATCAGATTGGTTTATGATTTTAAGTTCTTATTTTTACCTGAAGTGGCACAGTATAATACAAATTTACCTGATAGATAATTATCTTTGATGATAAAGCTCAAAAACATTTGTTTTATTTAAAGAGATACTTCAACAAAAATTTGTATTTGTTTTGAAGCTTGTAGAAATGTTTTACAAGTGATATTTTCAAGAAATTGATACTTGTTCTTTCTAGCATTCAAAAATTTGCTTTGCTTTGCTTTTACCAAAAAATGTGTTACATCATTGGTTTTAGAGGTAGTCATGTAATAAAAAAATTAATTTGATCATCATCAAGTGCATCTTAAATCTAGAATCTGTACTTCTGGTCTTTTTTTGTTACTTTTTGAAATGAACATGTATACACGTATAGTGCACTGAAACTCATTCTCATAAGAAATGTTATTACCACACTGGTCAGCTGCTTAATTGACCTTTTTTAGTCAATACTTTGGGTGAGTACTTTAAGCACATTGCACAATGGGCCATGACATATTTTTCAGATTTTACTTGTCTTTTTCATTTGCTATTATAAAAACTCAATTGATTTAGTAAAAATGATGCAAATGCCTATATAAGTACATGCATAATTAGCCGTACATTTATATTAAATAAGTACAAATGACTTTCATTCTTTAAATATATATTTATAAAAACAAAATCTGATTCCATTTAACTTCTTTATTTGCCTTTTGAGAACTACTCAGCTACACACATCATCAATGTCAAACATATATGTACAAATAATGCATACATAGTGAAAATTTGCAAAAGATAACATGTTAAATCTATGAGTGGCCGATGGCCTCATGTGGTTGGCCGATGGCCGTATGTGGTTGGCCGATGGCCTTGTATGGATGGCCGATGGCCTTGTATGGTTGGCCGATGGCTTTGTATGGGCGGCCGATGGCCTGTGAGTCTGCATGGCCGATGGCCTTGTAGAAGTAAACATGTACTATGTATGCTGAAAAATGCAATTTCTTTGGGGTAGAATAACACATGATATATAAAATATTCAGGTGTGAAATGCCAACATTTACATAAACAAACAGTATGAACAAAAGTAGTTCTCTATGATCAAATTAAGATGTCAAACATATATGTACAAATAATGCATACATAGTGAAAATTTGCAAAAGATAACATGTTAAATCTATGAGTGGCCGATGGCCTCATGTGGTTGGCCGATGGCCTTGTATGGATGGCCAATGGCCTTGTATGGGCGGCCGATGGCCTTGTGTGTCTGCATGGCCGATGGCCTGTGAGTCTGCATGGCCGATGGCCTTGTAGAAGTAAACATGTACTATGTATGCTGAAAAATGCATTTTCTTTGGGGTAGAATAACACATGATATATAAAATATTCAGGTGTGAAATGCCCAAAACGAAGGTAGCACAAACAGAAAATTGATGTGTTTGGGATAGCTGAGAGTCCCCAAAAGAAATTTCATTCTTTAAATATATATGTATTTTATAATGGAACTTGTTTTCATTTTAATTTATGCTTGGGTGATGGATCTTGATGATAATTGTAGTCACTCTACCTGAAGGATGTAGAATTAACAAGTTTTGACTTTTGCTGTATGTAGAGAATTCGTTTTATATAGATTAATCTGTTTTGGTCTTAGCTCTCATGATAGATGCTTAAAGTTGTTAAGTACAAGTATATTTTCAATTCCTATCTGTTTGTTAGCAAATGCAGTATTATTTCTTTATTCACCAATCTCCTTGACTAATTTAGAATTTTTATTGCAGAAACCTAGTGGGGTGACCCAGACTAACAAAGGCTGTACAAAAGAGGGATATCTGTACCTAATGGAGAAAAGTGAGAAGGAAATATTTCCTGTTGGGATGTCTTAATATTTGATGTACCTTTAGAAAACATAATTTTTTATGACATAATATTTATATTAGTAAAATCAGCCATGAAAGTAATACATGATTCATTATCATTACAGAGGTGATGGGGACGACCTGGACCAAATATTACTGCTGGTACAAGAAAGAGGGCAAGATATTTCACATGATGCCCTACAACCAGGTCACTGGAAAACTGGTAGGTGTAAAACATCAGCAAAGATTAAGGTCACTTGAGATACATGTATTTTGGTGAGATATTGATATCCTTCCCAGACGATGTGCAATTTTTTGAAACTTTGAAAGATTTCCGTTCTGAAAAGGCTGTGGCAGTTTTAGATAGTTTTGTAAAGCAGTATCAATGGAGAATGGAGGCTATATAGTCCTTTAGCCCTGGGGAGAAAATCATGAAAATTCATGCAATATTAAAAAATTCTCTACTCTTTTTATGCTGAACTTAGCAGAAAAAACTATTTTCATTTGTATTTATAAACATGTATCCATAGTGTATTAGAGGGTATGATAAAAAAAACCCAAAGATATGCAGGTGACTTTCAAAGCCCATGGGCCTGTTGTCGTAAACATTTAACTTTAAATGGTTGTCCAAATAATTTACCTTTTTACTTTGTGAGTATTACGTTATGCTTTTTATTTATTAGAGCCAACCTGTTACTGAAAAGTTTACACTGAAATCTTGTATAAGGCGAGCCTCCCAAACTATCGACAAAAGATTCTGTTTTGACATCACTGTGGACGGAAGGTCAGTGCTTATGTTGCTTACTATAGACTACGTGTACTAAAGGAAAAAAATGAGATTACACAAGCAGTCTCTTTTCATTTCAATTTATATGTTAAATCTTGAAATATTGCATGTAAATCATCAAAGGAAAGTGATTTACTAGAAATAACGAGAAAGAAAAAGAACCTGATTTTTCTTTAAATGTTGTGATTTCAAATTATCAAAAAATTCTTGTTCAGTACTTCTTAAGTTTCTCCTTCAGGGATAATTGGTGTCATCAACTTTGATATTTTCAATCATGAAGTCTGTTTGTTACCATCATAATTGTGACCTTTGACCTTGTAGGGCTGACACGCTGACATTCCAGGCCTTGTCGGATGATGACAGGAAGTTATGGATGGATGCCATGGATGGCCGGGAACCAGTTTACACCACCCCAAACACTTCATCAGAGGATTGTATGTCTGAATATGTTTTAGTTTATATGATGTAACCTTTATTTTTATGTTCAGATACCAGGTATTAACACATTATGTAAAAGTAATTATTTATACATGTGTAGCATATTGATTTATATAGGTAGAAAGGGTATTTTTACCATTTCATTTTTCTAGTTTTATCAATAAATTGCAGATTGCTTAAAAGTTACATTTGTCATACCCTTACTAAACAGTCCCTATATAATTTCTTACTTTAAAAAGTCCAATAGTTTGACTGTTTTCCCCAGCTGTCGGTCCAGGGAACTATTAAAATAGACTGATATAAAAGACTGTTGCCCGCTAACGTCATACGGCGCTAAACTGAGTTATCTTTTCATTCGGTGAAGGAGTATAACAAAACAGTTGTTGACAGGAGTCTCGAGAAACAGTTGACCTACGGCCTTGGGCAACAGCTTGCACTCCGGTCCAACAGATCGACTGTTTCCCTCTACCCCAGTCAACAACTGTATAGTATTACAGACACAAATTACATGTGAATTAATTTCATTCATTTTTTAATTATTAATGATTTAAAAATTGATTTTTAAAGATTTGCAAATGCAGTAAATTCTTACCTGACTAAACATTTTCAATATTTCCTTTCTTTTTTTTAGCTTCATTAGATGACATAGGATTTTCATTTATCAAAAGATGTATAGCAGCTGTGGAATCTAGAGGTAGGAATTGCACTGCAGAGTTGTCAAGATTTGTAAATCACTATCAGACATTTGGTCTGACAAAATCAAAGGTTCTGTCAGACTGGACAAAGTGTTTTGTACCATATTCAGAAAAATTTGTGGTGAACAGAAAGGAAAGAAAACTTCACTAGAATGCCTTTTATTTTCTTATTAAGCATTTAACAGTTGATAAACCAGCTTCATCATGCAGCCATCTTCACTGTTTTTCTCTCTTTTTTTTAAATGTTCGTTTGACCAATGTTATCATGCAAGATGTTGGCTCAGATAAACGTTCACCAGCCTTGCTGATATGAGTTGGGCTGAATTGTTCTTTGCTGTACTTTGCAGGACTACAGGAGCAAGGCTTATATAGATTGGTGGGAGTTAACTCCAAAGTTAATAAACTGATGTCCCAAGGCCTAGGTAAGTCAGTCACAAGTCATGATCAGAATTCCTCAGATTATATTATCAGTCATTTTATATAAAAATTCTCCCATTTCTTACAGATCCAAAGAAAAGAGACAAAATAGATATTTGTGACCCAAACCAGTTTGAAATTAAGACTATAACAAGTGCTGTTAAAAATTATCTCAGGTAAGGCATGGGTAGATGATGTAAACTTTATAGACTAGGTTATGTGTTAATTGTTTAAATATATGATGCCTATAACAAGGGAAATCTGAATTTGGTCAGGAGGTAACTCAAACATTCTTATGACAGTGGAGAAAGTGAATGCTAGCACGGCTTTTTTCATCGAACAGTATAGTTAGATCCATGCAAAAACTACTGAATTTGCTCATGGATTGGCAAGTGGAAATAACTTCCCTGACAGAGGAAAAATTTTAATGCTGCTTGTATTTTATTTGTATTTGATCCACTGCATATTTATTTAAGGTTCTTAGTTTAATGAGTACATGATTCATTCTAATATTTGTCATAAGTTCCTGGTTTTATGAGCAAAGTACAATGTATTTTGAATTTTCCTTTTCAGATCACTGCCAGAACCATTAATGACTTTCAAACTACACAAACCATTGATACAAGCTGCAAGTAAGTGACTGGGAAAGGGAGGTAATCCAGCCCTTTCAAATATATAATATAGCAAAATGTTAAATATATTCTGTATGATTTCAGAATGTCGCGGTTCAGAAGGTAAATTTATAGGCATCTAGCGCTGGTTTTCTTCCTCTAAATACTATTTAACCTCAACAAGTTAGGGTGTTTTAGCACTAAACAATGAGTCTTTGGTAGAATAATATAGTTTGAGATTACTATTGTACTGATAATGGTTTTATAGTTTATGGGATTGGGATAACACTTTTTTTCCTCCAAATATTAATTAGCTCAACTAAGGTGAAAGTTTTAAGCAGGCCTTCCTGATCAAAGTTGGTCTGTTGATGTGTTCCATTGCTATATTTTTGACTTCTCTAAAATCAACAGGTCATTAGCCAGCAAACTTTTTCGGTGAAGGGGATTTAATTTCATTAGTAAACAAATCTTAAAATTTTCTTTCAAAACCTTGTAATGAAATAAATTGAAGCAAGAATTAGTCGTTCAGATAAGCAACAATCCCAATGTATTGTAAATTCATGGTTAGTGAAGCCTTAGGGGGCATACATTGCTACAAAGAAAATCAGAATCGTACTTGTTCATAAAACAGAAGAAAAAAATAGAAGGGACAAGGTCACTCAGGTGAGCATTATTGCCAATGGGTCTCTTCATTTGAAATTTTGAGTGGTGTAGGTAAAGTTAATGATTTGACACAGTGAAGAATAAAGTAAATGCATTGCCTAATTTTTGAGCATCACCTCTGGCTTTTGAGAACTGCTTACTACAATTTGCCCTCTCTTTTACTTTTCAACATGCTTTGATACCAGTATCATTTGTACTGACATCAACATTTTATTCCATCCCTACTGCCATCCATCACCCATTCTGTCATATCAATGCATAAAGCTTAGGACTTGGATGGACATGTGTAAAAACCAAAAATATTTCCCCACTTTGAACATCTTTAAAATCATACTTTTTAAATTTTTTTGGTTTAAAAAAAAAATCGTGCCATTTTGAAATTTGAATTGAATATTGAATTGTGAATAAATTTTATTATTTACCAGGTAATAATACAGTATTTAATTAAAATGATATTAGGAATTGTATTCAAGACCTTAAATATATTAAGCTATAGCTTTCAAAGAAAATTTGCAACAGGAATTTATGTTATATTTCTTTCAGAGGCATTTGCTATACAAATTGGTGTGACAATAACAATTTGAAGTAGAATCTTCATCAGTATGTTATGAACAAAGAAAAATTCTTAGTGAACATTTTAAATCAATATTTCTCTATAGAAAAATACAGCAAATACAAAATCTCAGCAGAATAGCAGTATTTTGGTACAATATGTACAAGGTGAATGGTTTTATTTGTGGTTTAAATTCCTTTAAATGTCCAATTTCTTTTTTTAGAACGAGAATCCAAAACTCTGCGTATCCATGACATCCACACCTTAATCCACAGACTGCCACAGGCAAACTTTGAAATGCTGGACATCCTGATCGACCATTTAAGGAAGTATGTACTATTTTAAAATAAAGAGCAATTTCAGCACACATATTTAGTTCTACAAATTCTACATACAGGTAAATATATGACACTGGCAACATGAAAATAAAAAAACTATCCTTACCTAGTCAGAGTCAATGTTGATGCATAATTTTATTTGTTGTGCATTTAACTACTTTATCAACTTGACACTGTATTTTCAGAATAGCCGAGTTCCAGGATAAGAACTTGATGACTGTAGCTAACCTCGGTGTTTGTTTTGGTCCGACGTTGATGAGGGCGGAGGAGGAATCGGTGGCGGCCATCATGGATATCAAGTTCCTGAACATCATTGTGGAGATCCTTATCAACAATTACGAGAGAGTACGTAACGTAAAGGTTTCCTTATCAAAAAAATTATACATTTAACACAGATTGATTATTCAGAAATGTTTTAAGTACAGGTACTTACTGTAAAGTTGATTGTAAAACCCATTCCTGACATTGTTGATGTTGTAGATTTTCAAGACGCCACCAGAAGATGCGGACCCCAGTGAGATCCGCTGCCCTCTCCCTAGTGCCTCCCAATCAGTGACTGATAAATTCACCCCCGGGGTCAACCACACCTCCCTAGACGTATCTAGTCAAAACCAGCAGCCCCTCTACATCAACAAAGCCCCTCCTGTCCCCAATACAAGCACCCCCACCACCTATGTTCAGAAACCCAAGCTTCGATCAGTGGACATTTACAATCCTGATACCAAAAGTAATTTGAGAACACTTTTTTTTTTAATAAACAGATGCAGTATTAAAATGCAAACTGTATTTTCTCTACAAGTTTGAGTCATCTTAAGAAAAAAAAATTAGATCTGCAAGGGCAACTCCTGTGTAATACTGATAACTACACAGAATATGTAGTAAATCAATTATATATAGTTTTTCTTCATGTAAATAAACAGAGGTTACTGATACATTTGATATTTTAGAAAAGAAAAAGTAGATTTCCAATAGAATAACTATCTTTTGGTATTAAATGATGTAGCCCTTGGTGTTCCTTAGTCTGATTTATTTATTTCCAGGTTTTGAGACTCACGGGAGCAGCAGCGACAGTTCTGAGTCCCTGAACTCGAGTCTGTCTAACAGTGCATCCGCAATGTCATCCCCCCTCCCACAGTTCGACAGTCACAAGAAACACCCAGCTCCAGCCATACCGGGAAACACTCAGTACAGTAATGTATCGGGACTAGGTGAGGCTGACAAATAAATCATATCACTTGTGTACATTAATTGTCAGAGTTAATATGTGTGTATCTGTTAACTTTGTTGAGAAAGTTCAAAATGAAAGTCAATATTATAGAAGTCAAAAGGAAATAGTTTGTGAACTTTTTCGTTTCAGCAAATAAGTTTATGAATGACCTATCAGGATCAGATGTTCCTACGTTGTAAGTATTTATTCCTAACTATGTAGTGTTATGAATGCCCCAAGACCTGCATTAAACACACAGAACTGTTTACCATAAGACACTCTTGACTTAACTATTCACCCCACCCAAAATAAAACAGCTTTATAATGGTGACACAACCTCTTAAGACTGATAGCTTTACATGATGAAGTGTAGCTGAAGAAGGGATTCCTTACACAAACCAGAATTTTTAGAGTATTAGGGAGAGGCTCTTATTTCTGACATGTATATTATGTAAATATTGGTGATCACAGAGGGGTTGAGGATAATTTTTTTTTTCTGTGCTGTAATCCTTTTATTATCTCCCAGTGACCAGTCACTACGCAGATCTCTGTGGATTTCATCCAAAACCAAAATGTTTGAGAGGTATATAGCAGAATGAATGGTGAACTTGATAACTGTCTATGATAAAATGTGAATGACGTTAGAATAACAGGATGTCACATGAATGTTTTCTTAATGAGAGGAGTGTTTGAGTGGAATTCTCTCTAGAGAATGTCTACAAGCTGTTGTTATAACAAAGGAATGGACAGATTTCCCAGCTTCTATTTTTGATTCTGTGAAGTCTTTGACAGAAAAAATCCCTTGCATCCTGTGACAAATTACTAACCTCACCTTACTACACTCTTCCTGGTTCACAGCACGTACTGTCTCCCCACTTCCTGGTGTCGCAGTCCACTTCCTGAATGGTGTCACTTTTTTTTATAATTTGCTGTTTTCCCTCAAACAGAAATTAACTTTTGTTTTCTTTTCTTGTTTAAAATTTTCTTTTCTCATGTCTTATTCATTTAATGCAAAATTTAAATATTGATTTAAAATATAAGTTGGGAGTTATGCCACCGATTGCTATTTGTTTTGTGTCTGTCAACATTCATTGTCAATCATAAACTTTAGAATATTTTCAGCTTCTGTGGAGAAATTGCTAATTCAATTTCAACCAATTATAATGTAGTATAGAACATTTATGGGCAAAGGGAGGAACAATCCAATAATAGCACCTTGATCAGAGGCTTGTTGTATTATACTCAGGTGACTATTAGGGACCTCAGGCCTCTTGTTAATTGTTTTTGCCAGAACAAACAAAGATAAAAAATGATCAATGCAAAAAATCAGTTTATAAACAACATGTTTATACATGTACATACTAGATAAGAATTTGAAATTAATTGCACATTTGATGGCTCTTGTGGCATTTTGGGCATGTAGATAATTCCACACTGAAAGTTTTGCAACAGATGCTTATGTGCTTCACCAGTAGTATTAAAGCCCCCGTTAAGGATCAGTTCATTTTGCATCATGCTATTGCTTGGACATGAAAGAAAATTTTGTTTGTTTTGCGTAGTGGAAGCATCAAGAAACGTGGGTCCAATGATTCTTCCTATGCAGCATCAATGTAAGCTAACCCCTGCCACATATAACCAATCAGTACCACTCTTACATGTAGCTAATCAGTGTTATTTATATTAACTAATCAGTGTACTTCTTGCATGTAACCTTTGTGTCACTTGTTGGAAATTAGTACATGTATTGTAATGATTCTGTCTTTTCCCACCAATGTACAGTGTAATTTTTCTTCACATTTGCAAAGTTATTTATATATATTATATGCATATATATGCATGCACCCATTAGATACTAGAATTACAAAGGCGGATCCAGGGCCTGTGTGCCGGGCACCCCCCCCCCCCTTGAAATTTTTGTATGTAAAACTTATATGTCCATTATCCTAAAATCAAGGAGAAACATCTCTTATTTTTAAGAACTTGTCAGCTTCCAGGGGACCCCAAAAAGTGACTTGCTTTAGACCATTTGGGGCTTCAGAACAGCTGCCTGACCATCTGCTTTCTAGTGCCCCCCCCCCCATTACAAAATTCCTGGATCCGCCACAGTATTACCCTGGGATACAAAGGAATATGAATATAGTCTACCCTTATATACAGTATAGTCTGTATTATGACATATAATCTTCTCTGATTATATCAGGATTAAATATACATACTCATTTTTTTTCGACAGAGGAAATGATGTTTGAAAAAAGATTATTTAGTGCATTTAACCAATGTTTTCATCATTCTGTTGGTACAGTGTATTTAGTCTGTCTTTGTGTATCCGTGATTTTCTTTTATCCCTGTGGTTCTGCATGTTTATTAACAATCAGTTTTTTATTCCTTACCAAAAATCTTTCCTAATGGATTTGTGCATGTCCCATTGAATTTTTAAATTTCTTCATATTGTTTCTTTACCACCTCAATTTGTCAATATTTCAGTTCACCTACAATCAATGTGTATAAATATATTCAATTCAAAATCTTTGTTTTATTTCAAATTTTATCGATTGTGTATTTTGAAAGTAAACTTGATATGGAAAATAGTGGGAACAATTCCTCTTTATTAATTTAAGAACTGTTTGTAATTTTCGGCTCTGTGTTGGTTATTTCAGGACTTCCTCGGCTCCCAGTATGACCAGTAGTCTGTCAGGTAGCTTACCAGGAATGGGAAACTCCAACAATGTCAACAAAACCAAAAAGAGGCAAGTACTTCTCTCTCTAACCCAATCCATTTCTGTGTAATGGTGTGGGTTTCCATCAGGCTCTCTGGTTCCCTTCCATCAAAATAGCCCTCTCATGCCAACATCCATACAAAGGACCCAAAATTGTATGTATACAGCAGATAGTAATCATATATTTATTTTTCTCTTTAAATGATGCTGATGTTTCTTTTGTTACAGGACAGCTAGAACACTTTACCAGTGCTTGGCTGACAATGAATCAGAATTGTCTTTTGAGCCAAATGTCATCATTCAGAATGGTATGTTCAAAGATTTACAATACTTACATAATGGTTACTCTTATTACTATGACTGCAAATTAAATTAATAAGTAATTCAATAATATATAGGAATCAAATCTCACAAAGACAACATTACTGGGTATTTTTAAAAATGATTTTTCATCGAAAATTGAGAAATATCTTTTCTCAGAGTCAGAGAGGGGGATTGTCCATGTCTTATGTGCCCACTTTCCTTAATATTTTTTTCAAAACTGAAGATGTGTTTCAAGGTGAAATTACTATGAAGGTATACTATGTTTTTTAACAGTGAGAGAATCCAAGGAGCCAGGGTGGTTGGAAGGATCATTAAATGGGAAGCGAGGATTGATCCCGGAGAACTATGTAGAGTTTGTAGACTGACCCTGCCCCTACAGTGGCCTTATTGTGTGACCACCAAGGTGTCACCCCCGGAGGATAGAGACATCTGTATATACTCATCTACATCATCTTATCATGGAGATTGTCAAGATGTGATTCACTGTGCTGGACATGGTGGGAGTTACAAAGGGGAGTAACAAAGGGTCATGTGACTAAAGGGTCATGTGATCAGTCACATGACCAAAGGCCACTGTTTTAAATATTGGCAGAAAATGAATGCAATAGTGAGTGTGATGTATAGTTGTTGGTATTTTGTTTATCATTTACTTGGATTTCAAACCATATTTTTTACATGTCCATATGATGATGTATTTAAATTATTAGAAATAAGACTTCTTTCATAATGTGTACATTTTGTGGTAATTAATCATGTACTTCTGCCATCTTTGTCACAAGAATTGTAATGCAGTTCTCTTTTCTTTAATTTTTTATCTAAGAGGCTAAGATCATTTAAAGATGAAGGTCAAATTTGCAGCTAGTTTATAGTTTTTTTAAGGATTAAAAAAATTTCTGTCTCACTGGTTAACATTCCTAGTGTTTACAGGTATCTTTACCTTGTAATCTTTACACTGTGTTTACACTGTATTCTATGTTTACACTTTATGTACTGTTTCACGCTATTGCCTTTACACTATGTCTGAACTGTCAAGCTGTCTGCATGTTTACTATTCATTTATTGCTTAAATGCAAAGTTACTTAATAGCTTGTCTAATCATATTATACTTCATATTAGCACCTATTATTTCTGTCACAGTTTATTATGAAACTAAAAACAGTATTATCATCATATAGTTGAGGGAAATTTCTTAAAGATTCAAAGACATTTTCTAGAACCTTTGTTTTTAAGAGATTTATTACTTCTTTACACAGTGTAGGAATCATAAATATATATATACTGCAACATTTAGGATTTTGTATGCATTGAGATTCATGCAGACCTTTCCTCCAAACACATAAACAAGATGAAATTGTTTCTTTTTTATTAATTTTCTGTGATTTTTTTTTTTTTTTTTTGCTTTATGCAGCTTTTGGATTTTTTGTTGTATAAGATTTAGTTTCATGGTTGTTTTTTAAATATTGGTACACTGCTTTCTCACTGTTGGTAGATATATTTGGCAAAGACCAAACTTTAAGAGGTTAAATATTTCACATATAAATTTGACACCATTGGGGACATTGTACTTGCAAACTCTTTTTATTATTATTAGCATAATTTTTTAAAGTTTTTGTTATATACCTTATACTAAGTTGCATATGTGTACATTGCATTGGAAATGTTTGAAATTCTGTCTCCGACTGTTTAAATGCTCAGAAGCATTTGTAGTGATTAGCTGAAGATGATATAAAATCTATGCATTCGTTGTTGTACTTTGTGTTTCTAGCTAGGATATGGTTTTAATGCCTTGCTTAAATTAGTCAGATCCAGTAGATATAATTCAATGTTATGTTGCTTCTTGTGTAATTTTATTTATTTCACTCTAAGATACATTGACACTTGGTAATTCTGTCACTGCTTTTTATGCAGTAGGATAAATTAAGTAAACCAAACCTCTAATACGTACAGCTTATTAATTTTTTCTTTTTCTGTTTAGTATCAAAATTGAAAATTCTATATTTTTAAAGGAAAAATTTACCTTTATTATGAGGTTATTAACAATGTTTTGTACACTGTTGTTGATATTATGGAGATTTTGACTTCTGTGTATAGGAATTATTTATTGAATGCTGATACATGTAGTAGACCATATAATCTGTAGCATAATGTAGTAATATGTCAATATGAAAATCAAACTTGCTATAAAACACATCTCTTTTTTATTAACATCACTAATACATGTATACTTATTGACTAGTTCATGTAAATTTTACAGCATTCATTCCTGACCTAACCAATTTATTACAGCTATTTTTGTCATATTTGTAATTTATTTGATACATTTCCTCAGGTTGAGATTTTTTTGTGAAAGACATTATTTATTGTAGAGAAGTGAACAAATTCCAGGGTCCTTATGTGCAATGTTCTGCTTCACTGTATACCTATATATAGCTTGCCATCCCGTGTCTGGTGTTTTATGAATTTGTCCTTGACTGTAAACTCTGTGTCATCAGAAATCAAGTCTTATGATGTGAGATGTGACTTAGTGGTGTATGTATTGGACTTTGAGCATGCCCATACTTTAACATCTACTTAATTTGGAGATACCTGAGAGTCTTGTAGAAATATTGATAGTGATGGAGTTCATTTAAAACATGCAGAGATGGGGATGTGTATGGATTTGTGCACTGTGTGACTAACCTTGTGGTCTGTTGACTTGATTTTTGTTATGTGACTGTGTATTGTTACTGTTATATTTTGTCTGTACTGTGGGACATCACCATGTGATGAGATTTCACAGAGTAGGAACAAATATTCTACCAAGAATAAATTTGTACAAAGCATTCCTCTTGTTTTTTGCTTGTGAGCTCTAATGCTGTGATTTGAATTTTTGTACATTTCATTCATACATAGTCAAAACTAAAAAAAAAAAATTGTGACTGAACTGGCTGTCCTACATGTATATGGCTTTGGCAGTTCATCCACATTTAGAGTGTATATTGTCAGAATGATTTAATAAGATATTCCATTGATGAATCCTTTTTCTAATTCTTGATTTTTTCATCCTCTGAATAATTTTCTTTGTTCACTTTGTTATTGTGAGCTTTGTAAAAGCCTTTTCTCAGAAGAAAAATTCCACAGTTCAGGAAAAATTCCACAAATTCAAGGAGTGACAGAAGACTGGCTCCCAGCAATAACCCCATCTGCCCTCCAATGTTGGCTGCAAAGAAAGGCAAACATGTCAAATTCAGTTTGATGCATGGTTTTAATTGATATTTTAAAAAGCAACTTCATGCACAAATCTAAAAAGAGTTGTACTACAGGAAATAAAACCAAATAAGATATTCTATTCAACTATCTTTAAAAAATCCATGATGTTAATCAGTAGTGTGAAGGACCCAGAAAAGAACACATGGGAATCAATTTATCAAAATATATGTCATGGACAGGCTTTGTGTCCTAAATGATATTAACACCCACCTACTTGAGTCAGACTTACACATTGTCTTTTACAGATGTACATGTCAGGAATTTAAGTAATCTGGAGAGGTTATTTTAGCCGTTGTGTTTGTATAATACCTACTCCACAATACTTACACAAGATGTCTTGATAAGACGTATACAGCGGCACTTGCTCCACCTTATGTACTTGTAGATAATCAAAGTGGATGTGGAGTTCAACGAAATTTTCACTACAACAGGGAAGATAGTACATAAAGTTCATAACATTTATCATGCTAGAGAGTAATGTTTTTGGCTTCTTGCTTTTATTTTTGAAATCAACTGAGAGCTATTGTTATTATTTTTGTTCATGTTTATTCTAGGTTAAGATTTTGTCAATGCTCTTTTTATTTTTTCTACAGCACTTGTATTCATGTTTTCAGTGCTTCATGGAGCGGTCACCTATCCGCTATCACCTACACCACTGTCTAGCCGTTGCTTAATTTGCCTGAAATCGAGGGAGACTCTACCGCATCACCAGAAAAGCTAGCTCACTAGCGAGGCAGTATGAGTTCTTTACGTACTATTCCGCTACACTTCTCTAACTCAGGGAATCTTAACTAAAAAAGATAGCACACTTCCGAGTTAGCGTAAATTCTTTACATACTATTCCGCTACACTTCCCCGACTCAGGGAAGCTTTGTCCCGAAGCTTAAATGGGTCCTCCCTGTGTGTCGGAGGCCTCTTCAATAACAGTTACCAATGACATCCACGGTTACCGAGTGCGTAAATGGACAAAATATTTAGTCTTAAGACTTTCTGAAGCAAGCCACCGTACACTATCGTCAATAAGCTACTACCTAGGTGTTCCGTAGGTGTCTTCGCACTTTGGCCTTTCTAGCAATTAAAGGCGAAGGAGCGAGAGTGCAATGAAATATACTGATGGAAATTAATAAGAAAACACATATATTTAAATCGTAAAATTTGCTTTAGTGTCAGTTGTATTTGATCAAGTACATGTACATTTCATTAAATATGTGCATTACAAGTGGAATTTTAGTATCTGGTGTGGCCTCCCTGCTTTTTGATCACTTCCTCATACCGTCTTGGAACTCTGTATCAACTTCCGTATCTCAGCTCGAGGAATTACGCACCACTCTTCTCGACGAGCCTGGAACAACGCATCACTATCCCTCAACCGACGCCCGAGAACAACCCAGAGCTAGTGTTCAATAGAGTTAAGGTCTGGACTTTTGGAAGGCCATCGCAACATCCTGATGTTGTTAGGCGTCAGAAAAACCCTGCTGACGTGAAACGTGTGGGATCGAGCAGTGTCATGTTGAAACTCAAAATGTATGCCCACTCTGAAAGGAATAACAACAGACCGCGTCACTTCATCTCCGTATCTGACACTGGTCGCCTTTCCATCCAGTCGAACAAGGTCAGTTCTGTGGTCGTAGATTATGCTGCCTCATACCATCACCGATCCACCGCCATAGAAATCGTTGTTTGAAGGTACACTGATGATGACGTTCACGAAGGCGTCGCAAAACGCGAATTCGACCGTTTGCAAAGTCCAAAGTGAACCAAGATTCATCGCTGAACCTGTATAGCGCCAATGTAGAAGTTGTCTTGCTTGATGTTGTGTAGCCCATGACCTGATGAGACGCCTGTGTTCAGCAGTCATCCTAACTCCCACAACAGGACGACATGACTTAAGGCCCGCTGCTTTAAGTCTGTTTCTGACAGTACGGTCACAAATTCTTATTCCTCTTGCTGCCCTGAACTTAGAGTTTATTTTTTATGCTGACTTGAATCTGTTAAGCAGGGAGAGCAGTACCAGCTCATGATCATTACGCATTGTTGTTTTACGTTTGGAAGAACCACCTGGAATTTTTACGCTCACTCTCTAGAAGTACCGGTTCCACAGACGTGAAATCAATTTGTTATATGGCAGTCTGGAATATTGATTGAACTCCGTTAGTGCAACTAATACCTGTCATTTTTGATTTTCAGAAAGGCATTCTCTTGGCATGATTCTCAAAGTACGGGTATACTGACAATGGTCGTGTATTTTGTAGTGTTAAATGGACGTAATCATGAATGAAAATCACGAAAATCAATTTTCAATAGGAAAGTTTCTTTATGAGTTAAAGTAAGCTTCAACATTTTCAGTCTATAACAGCTACATACATTGTAGATCCTTGAACATATGAAACATGCCAAACATTAGGTAACAGTAATTATGCGTTCTCTTATTATTTTCCATCAGTATATAATAAATCTACACAAAGTTATTTCAAAACTCGCTGATTTTAGCCCTATAAGTCACAATTCATCGTGATGAAAATCTCCACACAAGAATATGTTAAGGCGAAAGTACAAAGTTGCAAAGGCGAAAGAGCGATTTAAGTATCACTTCTTCACGCTTCGCCGTCGCATCTTCGTACTCTCGCGGATTCGCGTCTCCACCGGAGTACCGTTCCTCTGTCGCCAATATTTTCCTAACTGAAAGCGGGAACCCATCTAAAGGTTATAAAGCTTACAGCAGCAGCTGACTTCAAGGAAAACAATGACATCACCAGGAGAAAAACTAGCTCACATGTGTGGATAAACAAAATCATGTCCATTTTAAAGAATGCCTTGCTTTTACCTGAAATAGTCTTTTGGAAGTCCCATTTTTTTGCTCATAAAGTTGGCGGTATCTTCTGTCGGGTACACAGCATACGACATCTGAGCGTTATAAGTCGTCTGCTGACAAGGCTCGGGACAGTCACATGTAGAGAATGTGGTAGCACTTCTTGTGTCTGTAACCAGGATATGATTGCGTTCAAACAATATGTTCTTTCCTATCAAGTTCTTCAGTTGTAAAATTGATGCACCAAATTAACTCTTTCATGAAAAATATTCTCTTTTTTGTAACAGACAAAATACTTTATCAAAGAAAAAAGATGTTAAAATAATCCATGGCGATAAATGGCTATTTATGACTTACTCTGATATGATGAATTGTAAAGGCACTGATGATATTGGTATTGGGAGCAAATGGTGTGATCACCTGCAACAACAAAATATTCAAAACCAGAAGAATATTTTTGACCGTCTTCAGGCTTATAATTCTTAACGATGTCTCATGAAGAAATATGAAATATTGCAAAACTCGCATCTGCCTGTCAGTAAAGTTTTGTAAAATGTTTTCTTGTAAAACAACCTAAATTTCTTCGTGAATAAAGAGAAAAAATGAGTTAAGATTTAAATAAATACAGTGTTTTCATAAATATTCGTTGAGTACCAATTTTCGAAGAATTCATTGTTCAGCAGATCCACGAAATTATATGTTCATTAAATTGAGAAATGTGTTATTTATTTTATAGATAATGCTTTCGTCCACGAAATTACGTATCCTCGAAAACGTCTGCTTTACGAAATCCACGAAAATGGATGGCAACGAAAAGTGATGAAACCACAGTAGTAATTGTATTTTGCTACTCCAGATAACTACCATTCGACCCCAAAGTAATGCATCCACAGCGCTGAAACATCAGGTCACTTTCGCACTTCCTTTTACAAGCATTAATGCTGTATGGTGCTGGATGTACCGGATTTGTAAAATCTGGAGAACTCGGATCATCGCAGTAAGTATCACCAAAAGCTTTGAAAGGGGGACCGAGATATGAATACTGAAATGGAGAAAATTTGATGCTTACAAATGCATAGACATAAATAACTTAACAATGTTTCTGTTATACGTCATTTTCAAATTTATATTTAGAGTTCTAACCGTTGTTTTAGATAGTTTTGCTAAAGCTATCCTTCCAGGTGGAACGAGAAAGCCGCTGTTCTCTATTGCTGGGTCTTCAAGAGGATCGTGCACAGCTACCTGTAACAATAGCATATGATCCACTTACAGCCTTCATACAATCACAAGTGATTACAATTTTACAAGTAGACCAAGTATGGAAACTAAAATGATTTCAAAAAATCCAACCTTCCAGTATTATACGGATAAACTTATCTTAGTGTACATTAGAAAATGCTAATAGACCTATGGAACACAGGATTTCTCAAAGGTGACGAGCTCATTTTTACTGTTGGAGAAGCTACAAACCAAGCCAAATGTCTAGCGTACTCCAAAGGCAAAATTATTTCACTATCAAAACTTGAAGTGTTGTTTCTCCTAAAAATCAAGACTCTAACAGTGGTAACTTTCAGACTATAGAGACGCTACTGTTCGATATCTCCGTATATTTCATGGATACCATTTAAGAATTTTGGAATTGGTATACGATAATTTAAGTGGATGAACCAACGAAAAATCACCAGGAAAAGACCTGACAATGGAAAGAAATTTGTGCGTTTATGAATAAGTTACGATCAGGATCGGAACCAGGGCTAAGCGGCATTCTCATAAAGGTTAACAAAAATGCCCGTAAGGATGTCGAGGCAGATGGTTGAGAAGATTAAGAGGATAGGAGTATCATCATCTTGCCAAAGAAGAGCAGTAGGAACTTTGGGACAATTTGATATCACAAAATTTTACCAAAATCAACAGCTTAAAAACTTAAGACTTTTCAACTTTATACACAACCATTCCCCACGTTAAATTAAAGTTAAGATTTTTCGATATCATTGACAGCTGCTTTTTCAATAGAAATGGAACTCGTAAATTTACTTACCTTGTCATTGGTCAATTGCAAAATTATTTTGTTAAAAACATTCTAACTGTACACACAAGTACTCTGAAGTCGACATCAAAAAGATGCTTGAGTTTCTGATTGACAATATATATGTTGTTTTTGGAGACAAGGTCTTCCAACAATCTATTGGAATTCCCATGGTTACCAATTTTGCCCCGTTTTTTGCAGACCTATTTTTGTATTCATATGAAGCAGTTTTTGTGCAAAATCTTATGCGTGAAAAGTCGAAAACACTTGCTGTGGCCTTCATCTCAACATTTAGATATGTCGACGAAGTGTTGTCAATTAACAATTGTAATTTCCATTGTTATGTCGATACGATATTCCTGGTGAGCTTGAGATAAAATATACCACAGAGTCTGACACATCTCTTTCATATTTGGATATTTTACTTTCTTTGATAAACGTGATGACTTTAACTTTTCTATTGTCAACTTCCCTTACTTATGCAGCAATATACCTTCATCATCTGCATACGGATTTTTATGCATATCAGTTGATTCGATACGCAAGAGAATGCTCTACGTATGAACAATTTCTAGAAAGAGGTTAATTATTGACAAACAAGTTGATTAAAGAAGAATATCAGCAGTCTCGTTTAAAGTCATCATTTCTTAAGTTCTATGGTCGATACAATTACCTTGTCAGCAAATACAATTTATCATCGAGTCAAATGCTGACTGACGTTCTTTTTATACTAATTGTTAGTCCATTATTTAAACACTTAACTGACGACGGATTTTCCTTTATTTCCCGATCATGACAAGAAGCACACGACGATGTGACTGGTTGACAGGGGATGCACACTCCTCCATAGCATCTGATCCCACCCCTGATGTTTTGGAGGTCCGTGTTTGCTCTGCTCCTATTTTGTATTGTTTTATTGACTTTTGATCTGGAATACTGTTCGTAATCTACATATGTTTCATAAACATATAAAATGAAAGATTCACATTTGTGTAAAACTTTGATGTCGCCAGCGTCACGGATTGTTAAGAGCATTAGTTATCGAGTTACGGAGAAAGGAATTGGTCCTTCCGTCAAGGGTTCGAATCCCTTTTGTGCAAAGTGGAGACCGTTCTTTTAGATGAGACAGTGAACACCTAGGTCCCGTGTCACAGTAAGATCTAGCAAGTAAAAAGATCCCTAATTGATACAAAGCCCTAAGTGCCAGATACAGGTCTAAATTTGAAGCCTTCTTACGGCAAGTGACGGCGTCTCAATATGAGTAAAAATTTCTTGATGGATCGATGTGCAACAAACATTAAAAGAGGAAGTCCTTCCCTTCCAGTTAAAATGCAGAATGTAGATAATCCACCTATCATTCAGTTAAAGGTTTGGCAAAGCGGGATGCTCTGAGAACATATTAAAAATGTACTAAGAACCTTTCAAAATGGCTGCAGCAGATCAAAAAGACTGTCCTACTCAGCAAGGCTTGTGTGGATGCTCATTCTGTTTTGAAATTGCTACATATCACAAAGGATAATAGATATCTTCATAGATAGTTTGGAGGTCCACCTAGTTTCACTTCAGTTAGTCCAATAGCAGAATTGCGAATCTTTAGCTGTCAATTTCAACACTAGCAAGAGAGTTCAAAGTTTCGATTATCCAAGGATGTAGGTAAGAGAAGCAGTGGCAAGAACGATAAGAACAGAACGAAAGAAAAGTACATACCACTTTACAGAAGGCAGAGAAAATTCTCATTACATGCAGCAGATATGGAAAATATTGTAAGATACAATACAATATATGTCTTTGAGGCTTTGAGAGGAAGAACTAAACTCCAGAATGTCGAATTCGGGAAACAGAGTGAATGTTCAAATGGTCTGTTTTATTACCGACCAATTTGCTGAGGTGGGGTCCAACAGAATCATCGGACATCAAGTCGAGTGGAGAAAGAGCAACACTCGCTAAAATTTTTAATGCAGAGTAAAATCCCGGGAAGGACAATGTAGATTGTGTTTGTCAAGGTGCTTCAAGTTTTGAATGAATTCTCGTATTTCTTGATGTGGTCCATCCGGTCTTAGATTTTAGGCTGCAGTCAAGAGAATAATCATTACCAATTATCATTGTCCTGGGAAGTAGTTTGCAACATAGAGTGGGAAAGTGACAAATACTGGGAACTAAGAGAACTATTTGACAATCGATAATAAAAGACATGATTATTCCCCATACAAGTTGGTTGTCGTGTATATGAAGAGAATGAATAAAACCTAGGGAATCAGTGACATAAATGAATATGAATCGACAAACACTTTGATTAAGAGAGAAAGAAGACTTTTAGGCGAAATTGGAACCTAGGAGACACCAAGTGTATATGTATATATAGATTATTGTGGATACGTGGTTTTTTAGGTAAAATATATGTAAAAGATGATGTCAATAAAGGATGCACCACCCAGCATAATCTAGATGGCAGCGAACTGGCAACCTGGGTCCTAATTAGGAGGCATATACAAAAACCCAGAAGCAAATGGACTGACCATTATTTAGCAGAATATAACTGTCTGTATATGTATATATACTTATTGTATATATGTTTTTAAGTCCCTTTTGATAATTGTTCACATCCCACTGTGGGATTCAAACCCGTCGACGTAAGGATCAATTCGTTACTTTGCGAATCTAGAGCAGACACTCTAGATAACCACTACGTCACACCGGCCACTTTATACTAGTATTTACGAAAAGATAGGACGTTAAATCCGGGCATCATGCAATGAGTTACAGGTTATTACTAGGCTTCTTCAGAAAAATCCACGCTTAAAAATAGTTTGGTCTTTGGAAATACTAGCTGGAGCAGAAAATATTTTCATAAGAAAATTCAATTGGTTCATAAACGAGAAATAACATTAAAAATAATGTATTTTATTGGGTCGCGTGTTACCAAAGGCATGGATATAAGATTTTCGTACATTAGAATATACAAGTCGTCCTTCTGAAAAAATAGATGTGTGTGTACTAATACCACTCTGAAGAAAGAGCATACAAAGGAGAGTAGAAATGTCGTGTTCATTTGACAAAAAGTTATAAGAATATTCCTGCAAAACGTTGGTTTGGTTGGTAAATAGAAGCTTTTCTCATTTAAACTTGAGATTTTAATGCTGTTGCTTAGATAAGCAGGATTACCATGCAAAAATTGCATTGTTTGATGATTTTTTCAAACTTGCTTGCTTGTTGTAAAACGTCCCTCTCTCGAATTTTTACGATATTGAGACACCACTGCTTGCCATTGGAGAAATACAAATTTTAATATACTCGGCATTTAGGACCTTTGAACAGTGACGGATCTATTTTGTACAAGCACTTACTGCAATGTGGGACCTCGGTCTCATCCAGAGGATCAATCTCCACGTTCCGCAGTGAGATACTAACAGCAACGTAGAGTTCAATTTCTCACTCCTTGACTCAAGAGCAAACCTCGCAACACTGCTCACACGATATGTTGTTTATGAAGAGTTGTCCAAACCCATCTAGGATTGGATAACACAAGCTATCATGAAGAGGTCTTTAGTTGGAGAAATTTGCATTCTTTACCCAAAAATCAATGGGTTATTTGATTATTATTTATTGTTCCTCTCGAGCATTTTTCATTCATATGGAGATTCCTTCATTTGCCCGTGGAGAGCTGCAAATTTTTTCATGTACTTCGCACCCAGGGCCATGAAGAAGTGAGGGATCTTTTTCGTGCCAACACCTGAGACATGGGGCCTGGGTTTATACAGTCTCTTCCGAAGGACCGTTTTTTTTTCACGTTCCACTATGAGCCCGCGATGTAAGGATCTGATTCCGCGACTCTAAGACAGACACTCTTTCCATTGCGACAAGCGGGTTACTCAAGTCATTATAAAAAGCACTGAAACAGAATATGTTGTATAATCTGTATAAGGAGGGCACTTTTGGCGAAGGCTGATCAACAGCAAAATTTCCTGTCACTGTGGATGCCACTTTACTGCTTATTAAACCAAGAACTACTATTTGTCCCATGGTATTGTAAAGTTTGATCGACCATCCGGCAATACACCAACATAAAGGTGTACATGTAAACCGGTTACGGCCTTTATCCTCTCAAAGCGACGGGGAGATGGTCGAGATTTCTTTTTTTCGATGTTCTCAGTACATGTATATGGATATTTTCGCTGGAAAGCTAATGCTTACAGAAAAAAAAATCTCATTTAAAAAAATGCAATAACATTTGAGTAGTAATAAAGTGTGATTTTTTAAAAGTGCCTGCGTTTAAAAATTATGAGAAAGCCAATCAGTTTATTCAGTTATTTTCAAAAAAAAATTATTCAATGTAAAAGATTAAATCGTTGAATTATGGAATTAATAAAACTTCCTACCTTAAATCCATTGCTGCAGTCAGTGTTTTGGTAATTCTGATCGTTGTTGACGCTGAGAAGAGCTATGAAGTTGAAAGATGATCCAGTAGAACTTGTAGTCACGGATCCATTACTGTTCCACGTGTAACACATACCATTGGATGCCACTTTCTCCGTTAGGTCATGTTTAAGGTTTACGCCTTTTCCGTCAAACGTTATATACTTGACAACGCTGTTTATTTCCAGCGTTTCATTTGCCACGTCATTGAAAGTCCTTGGCGCAAAATATCCGTTGTTTTGATAGTAAGGATCCGTCCAGTTGATCTCATCAACTAAGTTGTTTAGTCTTGAGAGTGATAAGTGATAAACTTCGTCTCGTGGGTCAGATGCTACTTTTGATCTATTAAAGGGGCTCAAATTGCAAAAGGTAACTGCTGGGAATTGTATACTTGACACGCTTTTTACGGAGGAAATGGCCAGGAAGGGGTATTGGTGGTAGTTGATCCATTCTTTGTAGAGAAGATAAAGAAGATAACCCGTGCTCACACCCACAGCCACAAACCAAATAATCCTGAAGAAACAAGAAGAGGGATAAACTAGGGAGTATCTGAATTCGTAAAAAAGAATTTATTGTTTGGTTTTATCCATTACTTAGCATATCTTTGCAGATATGCCAGTGGCGTTATTGTGCTTTGTCAAGAAGATGTAAGAGGACGATTCGAAGTCTTTTTCCATAAAAAATGCATTGCTAGCTGCAGAACTGTATATAGCTGGTCTGAGAAATCGATGAATAATCAGAGAGCTACTAACAGTATCACCCATTGATAAAAAAAAAAGTTTATTTACTAGTATTGCGCACAAAAAGAGGACCTGTTTCTTGATTCATTTTTAAGTATTTCAAAATATTTTAGCCTTGTGTTGTTAACATTTTCTTTCACTACTTTCATAACAAATTGCATGTACATCTAATGCAAGATGTGTGTTGCACTGAATGGCCTTGCTAGCCAAAATCATTTTATGGCAATATAAAAAAGGCTATTAATACGATTATGGTCTCAATTTCTTCCAAGAGGACTACTAATTAACAACGGTTTAGAATCTTTTTTGTCGTAAAAAGAGTAAAAAAAAAAGCATGGGACACACCATTTGTAATATTTTGAGATGGCAGATCAAAATGCAGAAAATTAATCGAAAAAGGCATACATTTTACGCGGAATCAACTTTTCGTGGATTGAGAAAGATATATTTGTTCATTGGGATTTAATTTCATGGTTAAAGAATTTTTCCGTAAAGATATATGCTAAAAATTAAATTTCGCGGTGGAAATAAATTCATGTGTCTCTTCATACCTTGATATAAAAAAAAATGAAACCCCACGAAAATTGGTGATTTCACAGTAAATATACATGTATAAAAAGTGGATGACACTGCTGCTGTCTGGTTGTCCATCTCTATTGTAATGCCAGCGACCTCTCGACGGATCTGCAGCTTATGCTTTGTTAATACATGTGCATTATTTTTGCCAGTAAGTGTCATGAAACAAGTGAACAATGATGAAAATCGGGTTCTGCATCTGTCTGTCAATTTGTACGTCTCGTTTGTTTTACAGAATTTAAACGACTGGAGGGGGCTTAAATGGAGATCCAGCTCATTCACATAACAATTTTAAAAGATACTGATTCTGAAGAAAAGACAATTCTTCAGATAAGACTGATTGATTGATTGTATATTGTTTCACGTCCCTCTCGAGAATTTTCACCCATTTGGAGACGCCATCACTTGCCGGTTCAAAATCCTATGTGTAAAATCCACCGTTACATATGCTCGGCACTTAGGGTCATTGAGCAGTGATGGATCTTTTTCGTGCTTTTTGTGCACCTACTGCGACACGGGACCTCGGTTTATACGGTCTCATCCGAAGATCCGGTCTCCATGTCCCACAGTGGGATTCGAACCCGCGACGTAAGGATCAATTAATTACTTAGACTCTAGAGCAGACACTCTAACCACCGCGGGCACCCCTTCAGATAAGAAAAATGGTATAAAAATTGTTACGGGAGAGAAGAAAATGCAGCGGACCAGACCGGGTTTCGAACCCGGGCCCCCTGAAACTCCGGTCAGGTGCTCGACAAACTGAGCTATCAGGCCACCGGCGATCGAACCCGGATGACCGCCACAAAATACTAAAAAGTGAATTTTTAACGATGAATTGTGGTACCAAGTGTTTTGATAAACAAAATAACTTTTAAATATCGAAGCAAAAACTCCACTCCAAAGTGCCTTTCTTTAAATATTCAAAACAAAATTTTAATAGCATAATAAGGATTTTTTAAAACTGATATGAAAGTTTGTGATCAGAACAAAAAGGTTCTAAAATTCTAATTAGCCCCGAAATCTACAATTTAGTGTTTGATACGCATACGATTAATCTCAAAAGAAAAAGAGTCAAATATTTCTAATACAAATATTGCTGACAAAAGCGAGAAAACACAAAATACTTACAAGAGTAAACAATACTTACCCGCGATAGAAAGGTCTCTGAAAAATGTGTCCGATTCCATGCATAGAACATTCACCTACAAACGCACCCCCGAGATGTCTGATGGAGGTGGAGGATTTTTTGTGTTGTTCTTCCATTCTGTAGTTCAGAAGTACGACAAATAAACAGCAGCAGAAGAAAAAAAAACGTGTCCGAAATTCGCCAATTATAATGCTTCAATTACACATTTTTTATAGAACCTTTAATCGAAGTCATTAGTCAATGATTCTAATTGTATTAAGTATTGAAGTTGGTATCCACGGACTCTACTCTATCCTTGTCAATAACAATGCTTTAAACGGGATGAGAACAGTGGAAATTGATTCAAATATTAGTGTATGTGTAATTTCGATAACAAATTAATTGACCCTAATGGAAATAAAAAAATGAAAATGTGTACAGTGAAGCCCACTTTTAACGAATCCACTACCGGTATACAGTTTACTAGTATTTTATTTAAAATAATATTTTGTATGTTTATTCATACTATAAACATCAGAAATTGACAACTAGCGTTCTGAATAATTAATCGTAACGCTATAGATTTCAACTAAATTGAAATGAAAGTACCATTACGAGTATTGAATTATTTCGCAATGATATATTATTTCGATGCGATTTTCTTTTTGTTAAATAAACATTAATAAGATTGATCGAATCGGAGTCGTTGAGATTTTTTTTGTCGCAGTGAATGGGTTACACTGTACTTTATAGACTACACTTAATTGATCAAATAATGAATTTGTTTGGTTTTACTAATTGGGGTACAGCCAGAAACCATTACACATTATATGATTTTAACAAAATATTTTACTGCAGTGAAGGGCTTAAAATCATATAGAAGTTGACCTGACAAGATAAAATCATTTGACATTGGCTGCTTTTTTGGAATAAAACAAAGGAACGCAGAAACAAGATCAGGTCATCCATCGGACACATTGGGCCCTTTCTAATGCTGGTACGCTATTGAAGCAGTTTATGTAAAGTGAGAAAACCCCTCGGATAAAACACATATTTATGGTATTCTAGAATCGTTAGCAGTATATTTAGGCCTCTTTTATAGATTAGAAATGACAAAACCATAAAATATGAAGATCGATTCCTCTCGGACATTCATTGCAACCTAAAAAACATTGTTGCGCCCCATTAGGAATGTGAAGTCACATCAAAACTATGACACTATGTCAAGATGAGAAAAGCAGCAAAAACAAAAATTGTGATTCCGCACTTTCATGGTCATATTGTTTTGAATGAAAATGATTTATGGCATGTTGGAACTATCTTTAAAAGTAGGTTAAAGACCTGAGGTAAAAAAAAAGATCATAAGTTCAGAAAGTAAACAAATGACAGATAACATAAAGGAAGCATTTGTCAATTTATTTAAAACCCCTTTTACAGTCAGAAAAGGATCATCATCATCATCTTCCTTTACACCCTGTGGTGTGTAGGGCAGCAACAAAATTCCTCCACCCTTGCCTGTCCTGGGCTAGCCTTGTCAACGATCCCCAGGTCTGGTGCATTGCCTTCATCTCGCCTTCTACTGTCCTTCGCCATGATGTTCTAGGCCTCCCCCTCTTTCTTTTGCCCTCTGGTGTCCAATGCAGTGCTGTTCTAGTTGTTGACTGGGGGTCTTTTCTGAGAACATGTCCAATCCACCTCCATCGGCGCTTGGTTATGATGGTACCCATGTCCTCTTGTTTGCATCTGCTCAGCAGGTCTTCATTTGTTACCTTATCGGGCCAGAAAATTCTGAGTATTCGGCGGAGGCAGGTGGTATGGAAGGATTGCAGTTTGCCAAGATCTGTCTCCGTTATTCTCCAGCACTCCGATCCATAAAGGAGAGTTGACACAACACAGCTCTGGTAAAGCTTCAGCTTGGTGCTGGTGCTGTACTGTGCAGACCTCCAGATGTTATTCATTTCCCTAAATACTCTCCTGGCCTTGCCCAGTCTGCTGTGTATGTCCTCCTTTGTGCCGCCCTCTGGTGTAATGATACTACCCAGGTAAATAAAGTTATCTGTCTGGCGTAGTTCCTTCCCATTGATCTTAACAGGGGCAGGCAATTCCACATTAAGTGTCATTGTCTCCGTCTTCTTTGTACTGATGCGTAGTCCCACTTGCTGTCCATAGGTTTGCAACCGGTTGGTCTTCTCTTGGATATGCTGGTGTGTATGAGACATTAGAGCAAGGTCATCTGCAAAGTCCAAATCCTCCAGTGTTGAAAACAGGCCCCAGCGGATCCCCCTTGGAGAGTCTTCTGTTGTCTTCCGCATGACCCAATCGATGACCAGGTTGAACAACACTGCAGACATTACGCATCCTTGTCTGACTCCAGTTTTAACATCGAAGAAGGTGTCATTGTATCCTACTGAGCATTTAAAGTTGTCATAAAAGCTCTTTATCAGGTGGACCATTTTAGATGGAATACCATAATGGCGTAGGATGCTCCAAAGGCTATCTCGATGTATGCTGTCAAATGCTTTCTCAAAGTCCACGAAGTTTACATACAATTGTCTCCGCCACTCTGTGCACTGCTCTGTGATGTTGCGGAGTGCGAAGATCTGATCAGTACATCCTCTATGTTTCCTAAATCATGCTTGCTCTTTCCTCAATACAGCATCAACGACGTCTGACATTCTTTTGATGATTATTTTGGCCAGGACCTTACTTGGCACAGACAATAGAGTGATTCCCCTCCAGTTGTTACAATCACTCAGGGCTCCTTTCTTTGGGATCTTGAAAATCACCCCTTTACACCAATCATCAGGTACTTTCTCTCCATCCCACACAGCTGTGAACAGTGGTTGGAGGATGGTGGCTGCTATTCCAGGATCTGCTTTAAATAGCTCTGCATCAAGATTGTCACGTCCTGGTGACTTCCCGTTCTTAAGAGTCTTGACTGCATTCATTATCTCCTCCTTAGTTGGTGGGTCAGTGTCGATGTCCAGATCCTCTGTGGCTTCTGGTACGACAACAGCTTCATCAGGTGATGGTCGATTAAGAACTTCGCGGAAGTGTTCAACCCATCTCTCTTTTTGATCTTTTTCTGATGTCAGCAGTGTTCCATGTTTGTCTTTGATAGGTCCTCCTGTGTTTCCTATAAATTTGCCACACACTCGTTTCGTGATATTATATACTCTCCCTTGCTCTCCCCGTACTGCTGCTTTCTCTGCCTCAGCTGCAAGTTGGTCCATGGCTTCTCTCTTGTCACGTCGTGCAAGCTTCTTAACTCTCTTGTTGACCTCACCATACAGCTCATCTTGCCTCTCACGCAGTCGTGGGGACTTGGTCTGCAGCATCTTTTTCTTTATTTTCTTTCTCTCCTCTATAGCAATTAGAGTCTCCTGCTGGATCCAGTTTTTGTTGGTGTTTCTTTTTCGAAAGCCTAGTTTCTTTTTGCTGCTTTCAGTGTATAGTTGGGTCACTTGCTTCCAGGTGTTGTCCACATTGGCCTCCTCATCTTCATCATATGCATCTTGTAAGATCTGGAATCTGTTTCTTAATTCGCTGATGAAGGCAACTTTCACGGTGTTCTCTCTCAGTCTCTGTATGTCAAAACGTGTTTGAGTATTAGCTTTTTTCAGTTTGATCTTAATGAGTGCTGTCACTAGGTGATGGTCGCTGCCTATGTCTGCACTCCGCTTGACCCTAACATCTAATAGAGAGCGTCTCCACATGCCATTGATCATCAAATGGTCAATCTGGTTCTTGTCTCTTCCATTTGGTGAGTTCCAGGTCAGCTTGTGGATATCAGGGTGTGTAAAGAGGGTTCCTCCTATCACTAGGTTGTTCATAGCACAGAACTCCACCAGTCTTTCGCCATTATCATTCCTATTCCCAACCCCCTGATTTCCCATGACTCTTTCGTAGTCGGTGTTGTCCTTTCCGACCTTAGCATTGAGGTCCCCCATGATGATAAGTAGGTCGTGCCGTGGGGTTTTCTCTGTCTCCGCCTGTAGCTGACTATAGAAATTATCCTTGTCTTCATCGTTACTGTCATTCGTTGGTGCGTAGCATTGTATTAATGTGGTGTTGATGTGCTTGCCCTTTAATCTTGCGCTAATTAATCTATTATTTATGGGTTTCCATTCCAACAGACACCGCTCTACACCTTTCCTGAATATGATGGCCACTCCTTCACGGTGTAGGTTGTCATCTCTACCAGAGTAAAGGACAGTTTCTCCTGTGGTGGTTCTCATCTTTCCAGATCCAGTCCATCTGCTTTCACTCACTCCTAGGACATGTAGATTAAACTGTCTCATCTCAGATGTTATCTGTGCCAGCTTGCCTGTCTCATACATTGTCCTCACATTCCAATGTCCTAGTCTGAGCTTGGTTTTGGTGGTGTTTAGGACCTCCCCCATTCTGCTGGTAACGTCCTTATGGCTTTGATTGCCAGCATTCATACGAGTCTTATTTAACTCGGAAGGCCTTTCACACGATGTAGTAAAGTTTTTTCTTGTTGCTGTTTCCGTAACTTTCTCCTTTTACAGGGCAGGGTTGTTATAAGGGTCGACACCAAAACGAGGTCACACAGCAGATTTACAGTGTACCAACATTGTGTAACATAGTTAGTAACGACTAAAATCCCCTCGATTGACCAGACAAGTTTAGATTCCGCGTATCATACTCCAAATACGGCGTCCCAGGTCATTTTGGGGGAGTTTATTCCATTCCTGTTGCAATGCTACAGTAAGTTCTTTCACATTAGTAGGAGGTTATTGACGTTGATGTAGCTCCTGCTGTCCCAGACAGGCTCGGTCGGGAAAAGGTCCGGTCTGAGTGTGGACCATGGTAATGTGGTGATATTCTGCTGATGGAGATAATATGTAACGATCCTGGCCTAATGATATCTGGCATTGTCATCTTGAAAAATGAAACGGTGCCCATAACAACGTGCAACGGGCACAACATGTGGTACCAAAATGTAGTAGTCCCGGTAGCACTGCCCTGTGACAGGTCCAGCGACAACAAGCCCGACTTTTCTGCCGGCAACATTGATGCCTCCCCACACCATTACAGATCCAACCCCATACTGATCATGTCTAATGATGTTATCGACACGGAAACGTTCGTTATGTCGGCGATAAATTCTCCTGCGTCTGTCAAGAAAGTCCACGTTGAACCTCGACTCATCTGGGAACATTACGGGGTTCCACTGACCACCACTGGCAATTACTAAGTATCCCAGCGTTGATGGTGACGACACCATTGGAGTCGGACTCTAATGTAACGACCCCCTAAACAGGTAAATGGCACGAGGACATCGGACATGCAAGTGAAATCTTTGCAATCGATTCCTGATAGCCTGGCTACTCACTACTATCCTTTGAATTTGAGACCTTATCTGATTTGCTGCTACCTGGCGATTTTTGATAGCAATAGTGTAGATGAATCTGCCCTGAGCCTGAGTTGTTGCCCCCTTGGTCAATCGGATCGTGCTCTTTTCTCAACAGACTCTTCAACACGAAGTCCAGACCATAATCTGCTGATAATAGACTGTTAACCATTCATTGCCCTTGCCACAGCTACCTGTTATGTACCATCCTGTAGCACGTCGAGGACACGTAACCTCTCATCCTATGTTAGATGGCACATGGTCTCTGTATCATTAACGCCTTCAACAACTGATTGATAATTATATGCTTTAGAACTCTTCAAAATTTGTCTTTAGAGTGGCTTTAACCTTTCAATTCAGTGGTACTAGTATGCAAATTTGTAGCACACCACCCCTGATCATCAGTAACATCCCGTGCAGATCGTGAGAGTATGATTGATTTGTTTGGATGATGAATTTCTTTGGAAATAGTTTCTCGTTAAGGAACTACATAATATGGTTTCGTATCCCTCTGATTATGTGAACATTTTGGTCACAAGCTACATTACCCCCTTCTTTTTTAACAGTATATACTTAGGATGATAGGGAGTGGGAGTGGGTTTCTTTTTTCCCCTTACAGTTCTTCTTTCAGAAATAAGTGATCAAGTTGGTTCCACAGGGATTTTGCCACAAACCCACCCTTGCTGTATTAGAAAAACAGTGTCACTTGTTATTTTTTTACTCAGGAAAGAACAATCGAATAATTTTCAGACTAAGCTCAACAGGTTCATTTCCCTAACATTGATATTGATCTGCACTCACATTTTGCTGATGATGCCCCATTTCTGATTCGGAATCGAATCCACACGGAAGACAAGGTATCCTGCTATGTACTTGTTGCCTTTCCATGTTTTCAGCCTGGTCTGTTTTAAATCTTGAAATTCTAAAAACTAATCACTTTTAACCATACTGCAATCTGACCTTCCCGTTTCTTAAATCGTAAAAGCCTCTTCAGCGATCTGTTGTCTAAAGAGAAGATATAAAAGCACATGTTCCCCTTGCAACAACATTAAGGATAAATTGATTGCTTACATCGGACAGCGTTAGTATTGACACACTTATCAATCAATTCCAAAAGCTTCTTTTAGTTTCTTTTGTTCTTTGGAACTGTTTTTTTAGAGTACGCATGGGTTTAGAGCTATTGAGACAAACTTCTGATTAAAGTATTAGTAGCTTCAAAGTCCCAAGTAAGAACTAACTCATGAGATTTCACTGGAAATCAGCCACTCGGCAACCACTTTCACTTTTTCGGGATCAAAAGAATTTCCTAAGCCATGAAATATCCTCAGCAAAAAATTTTGTTTTTTCTCCATTCGTTTTTGTTGTTGTTGTTTTTTTTTATTTACGTCCCTCTCGAGAATTTTTCACTCATATGGAGACGCCTCCACTTGTCGGTGGAGAGCTGCAAATTTTGTCCTATACTAGGCACTTACGGCAATTAAGCAGGGAGGGACCTTTTTCGTGTCAGCAACTTCGTTGACACGGGACCTTGATTACTGTAAATTCCTTATTTTTTGTGAGTACTTATTATCGCAAAATAGATCTTAAACGTCAAATCGCGAGAATAATTTTTCGCAAATGAATGAGTGAATGAATGATCAAGAGAATTTACATGGATTTTAGCACCATAACCCGCGATGTAAGGATCAAACTACGTACTTCGCGACTCTAGATCAGACGCTCTAATCACTGCACCAGGAAGTCGACTCCATTAGTTTCAGATTTAACCGATGAAAACGCATTTAAACATTTTATTGATGTGTTTTTAACATCCTTTCAAATGACTATTTAACGAAATTTTATAGTCTCCTTATGAATACCCGAAAGTAATGTCCACGAGATGCTTCAAAATTGCATTTGTGTAACAAAGGACCTAAACGAATGAGAAGTTCTCCTTATTGATTGATTGATTGTATACTGTTTAACGTCCCTCTCCAGAATATTTCACTGATATGGAGACGTCACCATTGCCGGTGAAGGGCTGCAAATTTAGGCCTATGCTTGGCACTCAGGGCCATTGAGCAGGGACATTGTCGTGCCACACCTGCTGTGACACGGGGCCTCGGTTTATACGGTCTCATCCGAAGGACCGCCCCATTTAGTCGCCTTTTACGACAAGCAAGGGGATACTGAGGACCTATTCTAACCCGGGTTCTCCTTATTAGTCTCCTCTATGCTACCTTGCCAGTACCTACTGCTAAGATGAAATAGAAAACATTGTTTGTCCTGAGAGGTGGTCGAACAGTTCCTCTAACTTTGGAATTGGATTCGCGTCTATAACCATAACTTTGTTTTGTCGATGATAGAGAACGCCAGATGGCATGATTCTTTCTTCCTACAAACCAATTCGACTAGTAATACCCATGATGGTTCACAACAACCATTTCTGCCATGGAATAAAGAGATAAAGAACATTAATCAAGCTCAAACGTCTACTGAACAGAAAAAAGAAACAGAGCAAACACGAACCTCTGAAAACATTAGAGACTGGATCACGTGCCATGGAAAGGGAAGCATACTCTCTCAGCCTGTCTCACCTGCAATGTGCTCCATGCCCCCGTGTCCTGGCCAGACAAGAAGTACTAGTCTGTAGATAATATAGTTTGTAACATTTCAGTAGCATGTAAATCGATCTGTTTATCCTCTTGGGATAAATATATAGAAATTTGTCTACACGAATGTTGGATACTGTATGTCGCACATAAAGTATTCAACTTGTTTACAATTGTACGAGCTACTATTTAAACAGAGTACAAAATATCGCAAAATGTCGGTTTCTCGGGAAATTTTACATGTATTGTAGCACAATGAAAATAAAAGCGATCGAGGAACTTTATTTCGCTAGTGGCGCTTTTTGCGAAATTACGCGATAATTAAATTCCTCGCGTATATTTAGGAATCTACAGGAAATTAGAAATAAAAGTTCCACTACGAATTTTTGAAACATCTGTGATACTGAGGAGCAAAACAAGAACAAAATCATATCTCTTTACGAAAGTGCGACCTACTTGTTCTCTTGAGGGTCGAGAAATTTTCTGTCCCTACTAAGTAGCCTGCAAACCTGAATGTATTTTTCCCGATACTTTTGCTTTAGTAACTTCACTTAATTGAATTTGTCACAAATTTTTGCAACTCTGTATCAGCCTCGTGTAGCTTTTCGTGAAAAACCGAAGCATTTATTATTACTTTTCAACGAACCGTGTGGAATACTGTATCTATTGCTCCATTTAAAGTTTTTGGGAGGTCATTTCCAAGTATGATACATATTAAGACTGATATCAGATACAATGATTTCAGGAATTTCCTCCATTTTTCCTATTTTACATGATAAATTTGCCTTTCCAAAAATGAAGAAGTCTTGATCCACGAACCTTCGTTATTACTGTGTGTATATGCCCTTCATCAACTATTGTTGGTCGGTCCATCAGCTGATCATATAACATTTTTTTCTTGTGCTGTGAAGTTAGGGATATCTCAGTATCAAGCAAAAATGAGGTTTTCCTTCCATTTAATACAGCATCTGTAAAAATGACCGATTCTTCACACAAGTTCCTTGCCCCTAGGTCTTCGCGTTTTGCCTATCGCATATTCGACGAATAATGTCATCTGTGGGCAATATTGTCCTTTGCTGATTGTAGCAGTGGTTAGAGCGTCTGCTCTAGAGTTGCGAAGGAGTTGATCCTTACGTCGCGGATTCGAATCCCTTTGTGGGACATGGAGACCGGTCATTCGGATGTGACCGTATAAACAGAGGTCCCGTGTCGCAGTAGGTGCTGGCACGAAAAAGATCCCTCACTGCTCAATGGCAGTCTAGGACAAAAAATTACAGCTCTCTACCGGCAAGTGGTGGTGTCTGCATATGAGTGAAAAAATCTCTAAAGGGGTTAAACAACACCATCAATCAATCTTTTGTAGATTCATCGGCGTACTTACTATATAGCAGTTTCCCTTCTTCTCTTTAGATTTTTAAAATTTTTCTCAAAGCAG